TGTATGAATTCTCCAAAAATGGGAGAAAAATATGTTTTCTTGTACCAGATACAGATAAAAGGTACTCTTACATCGTAACATTTCTGTCAGAATGAGATATGGCCCATACCCACAGTACATACCCATATCATATGGGTATGTACTCTGCATTGACAGATTCAAATGGTCATTTTCATGCACATCAAATGTTGAACGAATGCCTAGAACTCAGCTACAATATACGTCCAGGCTACGCGTGAGCGCGAAATCTAAGTCCTAGTTAAGTTTTCTTCCAAGGAGCCGGCCGTAGAATTCTTTGAACAGGGTGAACAGCTTCGCGAGATTCAGTGCATGCGGACGTACACGCCATCTCATAAGCCGAGTTGATTGGGGTATTCGCACCCTTTTTGATATATTGCTCCGTTTCGCTTCCTTATAAGCATCGAACGAGGATATGGGGGATTGGGCAGAGGATTGACCACAAGACTTTGCACGCACAGGATCGGTGAGGAAGAAATCCCGGACACTTTACTAAAGATTCTCCTATGAGGAGAGCAAAAGATGCAAATTGGAGTCCAGAATTGTAAGGGTAAGATAGGAAGCATATATTCACATCATATCTTATTACATAACTTACGCTTCTTTTCTCCGCCACTTTTGTGGAAGTTTGCGCTCATGCGACCGTTTGATCTTCCCTTTCAACACTTTCTTTGGTTCGGCTTAAAACTTGTACCATGCAGCTTCTTTGATTCGCTTGTGCGGAATGTCTTCTGTCTATTATTTAGGATCACTTGACGTATGTAATTTCATGCTATGATGTGGCTAAACCCAAGTCTCACGAGGCTGGTTCGAGCCTTTTGGATATGTCAAATCATGTGTTTCTCTTTCCTTTGACCTTTTCGAGTTCGTAGAACTGAGCATGCAGTCCATGTCGATGCTTGTTTGGTCTTCCGACCGCTTTTCCTTTTTTCCTCGGCAATAATAGCAGCTCGTGTAGGAATTGCAACTTTACGCCAAGAGCAGACGTGGTTATCGTCAACCACTGACGCTAAGGCGAACTGCGCTATCATGAATTTCGACTGTTTTCCGTATGAGTTTGCTTCTCATTTGTACCTCCCTCTTTTCATTCTTAAACTAGCAGAATCTCTCAATGTATAATTGCGCTCCATAAAAATTTCAGATTTCGCATAAGAAAAGTGTTAAAAATTCCATTGTGAACCATGCACCCATTGAAGAAAGCCAGATAGAGACGAATAAACATAAACAACAAGAACACTTACAAGAAAGGAAAAATTTATTATCCGCGAGAGCGAAGCCGTTAACCAAACAAGGAAATCACAATTGTCTATAAAATTGTAAGTGAGCTACCAATTACGTCACGAGCAAGTTACCACCAGTTTTATCGAAGTAAATGTAAGCTGTATACTTCTGTCTGAATGATGATCATCTTTCCGAACTGACACATTTAGCGATAAAAGATACATCGAATCAATTTATGATTATTTAAAAATATGTAGACATAGGTATATCGCGGAGCAGACAATGCAGCCTCGGCAAAGTTCAGGGTATTCTAGAGACTGCCATAAACCCACAATCCCGACTCTAGAATTAAGAAATACAATTCGGATGGAAGTGTAGGGTTTTGCAGTCTAATTATATAAAACACAAGTGGGAAAAATATTTGCCGGTTTAGTAATTTCAAGTTCCAATCAATCGCATCTAAGAATTAAAAAACCGAATTATTGTAGTATCTAAAAATTTTAATCCAAGGGGTATGTTCTGGTGGATTACAATAAAATTAAAGGAATCATCTATAGTTATTGACTGAGTTAGCGGCTTGAATAGATAATACAAACATACTGAAAATTCTCAGTATGTTTGTTCTACAGAATTCAATGTTGTGTGTAGAGCTTTATGTAGAGATCTAGATAGGATCTAGATTCCTGATTTTAGGATAATAGTGGTCCTAAGCAATTAGGTACATACAGTTATTACCATACTCACTTTACAAATATAATACACAAATTTCTTTTGATGAGCTGATTTATGTATTAAATGCTTGAATTTAATCAACTGAACAATAGAATTACAGATCAAAATTGATTTTAAGATTTTTCTAAATTTTTTACTTTTTTTTTTCAAATGTCTTTTTCTTCTTTCTAAAATAATTTTTGTGCTCAAGTATATTTGACAAATTCAGCTAAAACTTCGAATTTTTATAATGTACATTCATCAATACTTTATGAGTAATAAAATACTCATAAATATTTTTGGGGTATATTTACAGAATTTTCAATAAACCTTTAATTTTAATTTATGAAAAAAATCTCTTTATTATGAAATATCAATAAAATATACACATTACATTAAAAAAAATCCATATCAATGTTAAAAATCCAAAAATAACATAATTTGATATAAATACATGCAAAATAACAAAATATATAAATATATAGACCAGAAATCTACGTTTATATTATTTGGTGGAAAAAATTCTCTAATGGGTACTAAAATTTTATACACATCAATCTCTGAAAGCACATTGTACATTCAAAAATGCATAATGTAAAAATTTGAAATATTTACTATTCTTGATATATATATATATATATATATATATATATAATGTATTTTTATATAGTTTTTTTTTTCCTATTTTTTGTTATGATGATAGATATTCATAACTAATTCATGAGTTTGAAAAAATAATTTAATCCACTTAAATTGATTTATTTTGTAAAATAAAATATGAAATATTAAAATTATCATAAATTACATCAAATTTAAAGATGAAGAAATTTTATTATGACACAATGTAATCTAATTTCAGCTCATTATTATTTTTTTGGATATTAATAAAAATAATAAAAATATTGAATATGAAATATAAAAATAATTTTGGGAAAAAATATTTTAAAAATATTTTTCTAAAAAAATTATCTAAAATTTATCCAGATTATAATCATAACAAGCTATCAGAAATCTGCATGAAGTAAATTCATAATCTTTCAAAATTGTAGCATTTATGTGAACAACTAAAAGCACATAAGTATCAAACGACATGATCAAAATAAATTTTCATCATGATTATCAAAAAGTAAAATTTCATAGATAAATGTGATATATTAGAATTTAAAAAATAATAATTTCTGTGAATTTTTTTATTACGCATATTCTAGAAGAATGATATTAATAAGTTATGATTTAAAATTTATGAGATAATTTAAGTTTAAAAAAAATATGTTATCATTTTTGTAAAACCAAAAATATTTGAAGCATATTTTTTTATTCAATCAGAAAATTTTGAAATAAACTATCAAAATTAGTTAGTTTCAATTTATCATATAAATATAAATAATTGACTCAAATTTGATATAAAAATATATATTTGATAAATTAAATAATTAAATAATTAATATTTTTTGAAGTTTTTTTCAAATGAATTCATTTCTTGAAACGTTGAGATTTTTTTTTTATTAATAAGTTTCAAAATTTTAAAAAGTAATCTTTATCAAAATAATTGCTTAAATTCTTTTTGAATAAATCTGAAAATCCTTAACAAAAATTCCATAATGCCTTTCAATCAAATATCATTGTTCAATTTTTTATTCTTTTGTTTTAATTTTTTTCTTGAATAAAATTATTTATAAAACTTATTTATACATTGAAATTTTTTATTTTATTGACTAAAAGTTTGATAATTTTCACCTATAATTTGTAGAAGAGTAGAAAATTTGAATATCTTAGTGTTTACTCAAAGTGTTTGAGATTAGATATTTGCAAAGCTAAATATTAATTACAAGTAAGATATAGGTTCATAAGATAGTGATTCCAACTTGATTTGTAGAAAATGTATTACTTATGATGCAGATACTACATATGATTTTTGAAAATCTTTCTCTTTAAGTAAATCTGAAATTCTTAAGAAATCAGTAGATTTCTTGAAATGTTATACATAAGAGGATTACGCATGTGTTTAGTTCTCCCTCGGAGTAACATTTGCACCGCTCTTTTCTGGTTAGGCACTATTCGATGTTATCTTACTGGTTACGGGCAACAAGAACACAAAGTATAAAGGGATGATTGTTACGAGAACATGGCTCTTGAATCAAGACAATTCTGTTGCAATCCCTAGATAGAAGGTACCTCGCGTTGCCAAAATCCACGCTACAGATTGACATCGTCAACGTTTTAAAGCCTCGCTTGTTACAGTGACGCCAGGGCAAGAAACAGTACAAGGAATACATGTGCTCGCAATTGTTGGCAATTTAAATATCAATAGTGAGTCCGTTTACATGATGAAAAAGAAAGAAGCAGGTTGACCGAACATGTTCATGTTCGTCAATGTCACCTAGGGTGTGACCTAACATCACAGCGAGTATAACGTTTCATAATTTATTTCAAGATTTTTGGTCTTCCACATATCTATCTTAGATCCTCTTAATTGTATGAAATAGTAAGGAAAGTGAACTTGAGGTAAAAATAGCATGAAATCTTCAAATAATTGATCATTAGCACTTCAAATAGTGTAGATCGAGAGTGCTATGGTATTAGCAATTTTCCAGCAGACTGCTGATGGAGTATAACATAATCTGAAGTTTCCATATCTAACTATTCTCAAGGAAGTATGGCCCTTCTTACTCTATTATGTGAAAGAAAATGTGTAGCATATCGCACATTACATTACGAGAAATCGGCAATCCCAACGAAATAATGAGAACCAAACCAAATCAGCTCATACAACTTTCAAAGTGACGATTCATGCAAACGAATATTTTTGTTTTCAAAAAAATCAGCTTGAAAGTTATTATTGCATCTTTACACAAGCTAAAAATATGCAGTGAAGTGAATCAGCCTGAATAATTGAAGCGGAAAAAATTAGTTTTTCTTTTATGAACTAAAAAATATAATGATAATCTATAGAAGAACCACAACGGAATTGGGATTGATACTTAAAAAATAAAAGATAGTGGACTAGTCGTCCCAGATCCCTATTCATTTGACCTCTGTTCTTTCGTAGCATGGACTGTACCTTTGATATATTGCATGGACCTTTGGACCTTTGGACCCTTTCCAAGGTCCTGGCCCCATGGGTGCACATTGGTCCCGTGGTGGGTTCCAAGAGTTTGGAGTGTTCCGCAGTCTACAGAATCGTCCAGCGGATCCATGAGAGAGGCGAGACATTGTTGACTGCGACTGTAGTAGTCCTGTACTGTGCCGTAGGGTAGAGATTGCCTCCTGCGGTTGACAAGTTGGTCCACCTGACGGAGTCATTCCCTACTGTGAAGGGTAGCTCTCGCTCGTTCAGTTCTGGCAGAACATTCCCCCTCATCTTGAATGGATGGCATCACTGTTCCGGTCGCACGTTCCCCGCCAGATACTTGCCAATCCGTCCGCCATTTGTGCACCCCGACTCTCAGCGGCCGGGACGCACGATCTCCCTCGCGCACATTCTTTCCCTCGCCTTTTCTTTTCGTTCTGCCTCGAGATCTTGTTGGGCTTCGGACCGCCGTTGCGGTGTTTGGAGCTTCGCTCGGCAAAAGTCCTTTTCAGTGGAAGAATACAGAGCCTGGGTGATGGAGGAGTTTTCTACGAGGAAGATGATCGATGCCGTTTCCTTGGAATTTGGGAACTTTGGCCCATGATGATACCCTACGTAAGAAGGTTTGCTTTGTTTCACCAACTGCGAGGGAAAAAACAGAAACACTTCGAAGTCGTGGTCAACATCGTCCTGCCTCACACAAAACAGCAAGAATGTGGTTTGCTCTCTAAGTTCCGAAGGCTTCGGACCTTGGGACTAATTTGGTGATCCGCCCGACTCCGCTGACAGGGACATTTTCAAGTTTGATTTCGCGAAGCTTCTGCAGTTGTAAGGTAGCACACTGAGTTCTTCGAGTGAAAGACGAACCGTAAAAAATAGCATTGTTTACACTTTACATTCTCTCGCCATGAGAAAGTGAGAACGATACATTCGCGAGTGATTGATTGCGAAGAACGGCGACCATCATGTGTAGAGATGCACAAGCATGTATAAGCACTGGACGAGATATGAAATTGCCACCTAACATGACATGCATTGTCTCCGTTACCAACCCAATCATTGGTTCCCACATCACACTGGTGCAATCGAGACGCTCGTTCCTGTGAATCTTAAAAGTCAAGAGATATAGTCTTTTTACTTCAGGTGGGTGCACTTGCAGATTTCATGCTTACATTGAAGACAATATAGAACTAAAACTTCAATTCTAATGGATTTAATGAAAGTGTAAGAACTCTGCGCCAGTAATAATATTGAACCAACAAAACCTTGGTGAGAAAAGAAGCAGGTAGAGAAGTTTTCGTTCATCCGCAAATGCCAGGGGAATGATTTGTAGACAGTCCTTCACGGTGAAAATAAAATCTGCTTTCTATTCATGCTCATCGCGATGAAAACTGATGACCGGGTTTGTTATCCACTTTTATATGATTAACGCCCTTATGCTAGACTACTTGGTTCCACGTTTTGTATGATGAACAGACATTTTCCCCACAGGAAGAAGATCGGTTACACTTCAACCTATGCTATAGGATAATTTTCCAGGGAGATACGCAATGTGCTCGAGTCTTATGCCGCCTCGTGTACTCGCTCTTTTGTATTATAAAGTAAGTCGTCGTATACACACAATCGTCAATGTATGACACATTAGAAGAGGCAAACACGCCCAAACGTTCTGTACATGTAGCCCCGAGACCTCTTTGTGCATGCCTATATTGGCGATGTGCAGGCCTCCATATCTGCACACATTCTCGGTCATTATAGCCTACATTAGGCACTTCGTAGGAAGAAGACATTTTGGCACAAAAGGACTAGATTCCACTCGGGCCTTGCAAATTCCAGCCTTTTGGCCCCATAACTTCTACGAGCCTGAAAGTGGGAAAATATTCTGCAACCTCTGTAGGACCCCTCACGAACAGGAACTCACGAGTCAAATGGTTTCGGTGGTTCCCCACTTTTCCCATTAATGTAGGCCAGTTCCGAATATGACCTGTTCACAGGTCTGGTGGTGTTGAAACTCGAAAGGGTAAATTCTCTGCAGAATCCACAGGCTCAGGTGATAATTTTACACATGACCGTCCCCCTTTCAGGCTCCGACCCAGACTCAAAAGGCAGGACGAAGGGACCGCAACTGGAATGTACGTGCTCCGAGTCAGCTCCGTAGTACCACACGGAATTTTTTGTGGTCATGATGTACTTGTGTATCGGTCCTCGTGTGCGGTTTTAATCTGGTGGAGGAAATCCAGAAGGTTGAGAAGATGAAAGCTGAAAAGGTTGGTGCCTACGATAGACTTGGGCACCGATGGTTTCTATTACTAACGTTTATTATTATTGTTATTGTTATATTTTCACATCTTGTTTCATTGAAATCGTGTACTTCTTTCCACCTTGCTTCGTCCATTTAAAGTCGAAAGGTTGGTATGCGGAATATCAAGTTCTTCCGGCCCTCAAATTTGACTTTGTCCGCTACTCCAGATATCATTCAACAAAAGAATATGTGAAGAAAAAAAAGACACAGGCTCGACTTCTTTACAGCTTATGCTTTTCTTCCTTGTCATGTTCATATAGTCTGATGCTGATAAGCATGCCATGACAACGAACATGGAGTCAATACTGACAGTGCACTCATGACTTTGAGAAGAAGACTTCGCCTTACATTCTTGCAAATCCGAAATAAGTATAGTTATGAGCATAAGCAAAATCTGCTTGCAAACAGAGAGTACTCAGTGAAGCAGGAAGAAAAGGAGAAAGTATGCTCCTACTTCTTGTGGGGTTCTGATCTTGTATTTACCATAGAAGTTTGTACGAGACAGAACAGCGGCATTTAGAAGCACAACTGACAGTCCACGCTACAGGGTGTGTGAGAGAATAGGCTACGTTATGTATCACCAATTCCACGTGCCTAATTGAGAGAAAATACAAGCCATTTGTTTCCTTTTGGCTTGGGCTTTATGTGTGGGGATGGTCTTGCGTTCCACTTTTGAGCTCCATTATCATGGGCATGAAATCATTCGCCAAAGATTTGGGACAAGGCGTTTATAAGAGGGTAAGCCAACAGGAATTTTCTTTCCCTGGACCTTCTTCAGCAAGTTACCCCATCCTCGTGAGCATGTATTGCATGATGAAGCAAAAAGGAAGACAATTTCCTAGAGACTTCCAATGCTGAGGGAAGTAGAAAAACCATATTTTCATACGCAGAATGCAGAATAATCTAGAATGTAATAACGGTTAATAAATGACTAAAGATTATGATCCGATCAGATCTTAAAGCTCTTTCAAGGAGAAAAATTGATAGTTCTTAGGATGATCTCATCATGGTTAACATGAGCCATTACAAATGTCTAATAGCAAAATGACAAAACACAGAACCATCTTGAGACAAGGAAAGTATCGATCAAGTGCTCAAATCTCAAACAGTACAGCAGTCCGTCGTTTAATTTGCAGTCTGTGAGCCGTTTCCATAGCATTTCCTATTTCACCTTCGAAAGGTTTATAGGCTTTACGTCAAAGCAAAGGGTACCACTTACATGCTGTATGGAAAGGACCAGGTCGCCATGGGTGGTCTACCATGTTCACTAGCTCTAGCTGTTCACTTGAACATGCCATAAGTTTGCTAATTCGCTGCGCTCGTAAGTAAGCTGAGTGCGCACCTGCGACGGATAATATCCCCACTTTTGTCGCCGTGATGGGACCGGGTCAGTTCACGTAGAGTTCAGGGCCTACCTCTTTCCACTCATGGTTGAAACATAATTCCTGAATTTGGCTAGAATCAAGCCTTACAGTGAGGCGGACTAAATTTGCACAAATGCTTGTGCTCCTTCATGGGCTATGATATATCTTGCCTTCCAAGAAAGCATCGTATTATTTGCTTTCCAGATGTTATGCCCGAATAGTTCTGTGTACCACACCCGAAAAGAAGAATGATTCTAACGTCCTGGTAAAATGATGCAGGCTATCAAGGGATGTATATATCACCCTTTTTTGGAAGTTCGTTGTTACTTGGACCTCTACTCTCAATGCTACAACTGTTTCTGGTTAAATTTGTGAAAGGTACATGATGCTCAATGGACAACTGTCAGATCGTTGCAAGTCTTCTGCTTTATACGTAACTTCCACCACCATCTCTACAGAATTAAAGACTTCGTTATCGGACAGGGAAAACCCACGTCTGGATCATCCTCGTCCAAATGACCCGTACTGAAGAATTCTATCACAAAAGTATCGGGCGATCTGAGCATTACTGATAAAGATCTGCTTCTACCATTTTTATTTCTGACAGAGTTCAAATTACAATGTCAAAATGGAACGACTTAAGACAATGCTCGTATAGATATTTTATTCCACTGCATTGCCTTGGTTGGAAGCACCCGCGTCTCGGGTCAAATCAAACACTAGGGCTTGCCCCGAGTACACCGTACTGAGACTGGAACATATTTACTGACTACTGCCAGACAATTGTGTTACCAAGCGGGCTAGATCACTTTTTTTTTTATAATATAATCTCAAAAGCCAAGCAATTTGCAAATGGTGTAACTTCTAATCCAAATTTGGTTACAATATTTTCGGTCCAAAGCAAAGTCTTCGTGCACAAGGACTTTTGAATGTTGTACACAGGAGATCACACAAGTTCAATGCAAGAAACTCTGTAATGTACCCTGTTCGCTATAAATAAGACTAAGGGACAAGGCCGAATGTCATGTTGACTTTGTGGAGCTTTTCACATGTAGCATAATAACCAGGGAAAACTTGAATATGCGTGCTACATAATATTGTCCAGCCTTTTGTGTACGATATAAGTTTGCTATGCAATATGTGCCGAATTGTCTGAGTCCGACATACGTACCTCTCCATCCGTTAGGAGCTATCCTGTCATTATATCAAGTACAAACTGTGTATGTAACAGAGACTATTTGTAATCATCGGAGACCAACGTGTTATACAGGCAATTTATGCTGTGAATATATTCTTGAACAACTTCGAGATTGTACAAGAGAATTTACTGTTATGTGAGCCTGAACAGTGCTTAAAACTCAAAGGGGTCTTCTAACATTATGGAGATCCACAGCCCAAGTTTCAACAGTGCATATCCGATGAAGGCAGTACTGGTCAAATATCTAGCGCAATCTGAAATGTAAACAGGGAAAGATATCCTGCCGCATGTCAAGATGAAACCGGAGAGTGATGCTTGGAGCTTGACTTCAAAGTGAGAGCATGCAAGCACAGCACCTGTGACATAGAGAATCTGTAAGGTCATGAGTTTTGGACCTTGGAAAGAGGCCAAAAAGAAAAGGATGGGGACTTGATGGGTGCGGGATTGGACTCAACTCACTATAGAATCCAAAACGGCGATGCACTGCTCAACATTGCATGACAACACCTTACATGGTTTGTGGACTCGACTCTCTATGATTGTGCTTCTTTGGCAGCACTCAACAGGTTATGTTCGCCCAAGATTCCATGACCTCTTGTACTTCGATGAATTCACATGGTCAAAGAGCTTCCATGTGGTCTATTTCAACTCCGGATCTACATAAATATGTCCCCCGCCGCTTTTTATAACTTGGGATCTATATAAATACGTGCAAGTTGCTGTTCTCAGCATAAACAACTCCACCGTATAGACCTATGGGCTGCGTCTGAGACCATACAAAGTACAAGTCTTCGTTAGACGTAGTTTCAGGGAAACCTCTAGAAAATTCATGAAATGCGAAGAAAATGGGGCAGCAGGATGAGGTATGAACGATGTGATCTTGGGAAACGGAATACTTTCTGCGAGAACATAATGCAGTACAGACGTTTGAAAGCGTCCGGTTATGGCCCACCGATGTGGTTGAAGTTAGTCGCACGGGAGAGTGCTCCTGGAAAGCGAACCACGTTTGACTATTTCTGATCATGGCGGAGTTGAGCGCAAGATGGTAAGAACAAGCCTGACAGACCTGCGGAGCAGAGCCCCCTCTTTAAATGTTACTGTTACTTACCTCCAGACCCACTCTCGAGACCATATCGAATGATAAGTGACTGAGGTCTGGATCTAGATACTTGGCGAAGCAGAGAGGTCTCGTTTGACTAGATACGATTCAATCTAGCGAAAGGTGCACAGTACAAGGTCGCCAGTTAATATTAAACTTCTGATTAGTGGCCTCCAATGTGAGTTCTATTTCTGCATTCCAAAGCCTCCTCTTCTTTCGAGAAATCAGACTCCCCTGACACGGATAAGCGAATGATGAAGATAATCTGAAATTAGTGCACGTAATGCCCCAGGTTAATCGTCACGTGTGATCCCGTGGACTAAAAGCACCAACGTGAGTTTCCAAAATCCTGTAGCGGCTGAACAGATTACATCTAAAGAAAGTCTCCAGGTTATAGACTCGGCTTGCAGATCAGAATTCATTGCATTCCTCATCTATGTCCTTACAGATTGCAAACAACACCAGCAACGCTGAGGCAGACAGAGGACGAGCGTCTGACATGATCTATCCGGAAGTGACAAACAACGGACTCCAGGATCTATATCACATAACATATGCAGAAGTAGAATAAAACTGCACTAGTGCAAAAGCCATGATGCGAAATAGGGGGACTCCAGTAGGGATAGTCAACTGTAGAGGGCATTTTGTCGGGAGTATGTGGGAAGTCAGGGCGTGCATGTGGGGAGACAAAGGCAAAGAAAGCAAATGGGGAGGTCCCCCAGACAGCTAAGCTAAGCTAAGCGAGGACGAAGAAGGTAAGGTAAGCTAAACCCAAAAAGAGAGACGAGGTGGAAGGTGATGATCCAATTGTGCATGGTCGGGGCAAACAGAGGTTTGCGAACGGAGGGGTTAGTTTTCACTCCCAAATATTCTGTAGGACAGGGGCATGTGAGTGGGCCGGGGAGAGGAGGACCGCGGAATCCTGGAAGAGCAAAAGGTGAGACAGTAGGTAGTGGGAGGAGAACAGCAAGCGCAATCGATCAATGATTGATCATCGAGCGTTGCCATAGAGAGGGCAAGAGAAGAGGAAGAGTTCGTCTATCACCTTTGCGTCCATCCACAGGGCAGGCAGGGAGGCAGGGTGAAGGAAGGCAGACTCTGAGACAGAGGGCAGAGGGACGGAGAAGGAGAAGGAGGCGGAGGAGGAGAGGGAAAGAGAGACGCAGGGAGGATCTGAGGGGGAGAGGGAGAGAGCGAGAGAGTGGACATTAAATGGTGGAAGCTGCACTCATCACCTCGGTAAGTGGAGATCATCGCATGCTGTGTCAGGAGCCACACGAGGGGGAAAGGAAAGTCTGGAAGGGAAGGGCGAGGTCGTCGACTGGCGTGCATGGAGTTTGGAATCTGAGCATTATATCATCTTGTATGAGACGAACACCTGTGGAGCTAGCGGAATGAAGAGGAATTGACGAAGGATCCAGCGAGTCCAAGCCCTTGCAACCTTCAGTTCTGAGCGATCGCTCGAGCTGTGACGAAAATTCGAAAATCTATCTATCTTATCCCTGGTATTTGAATGCCTCCGGGGCTGTGTTGTCGTGGTGACCCTGAATTGCCGACAGGGTTAGAGTTGCACCGATGACGCGCATCTAGCCGACTCGCTGTATCATGTTCATACTGCGCTTCCTGCTGCATTCCCACGGATTAGACATTTTTCGAGATTGTAGACACAAACATGGTACTCCTCGAAAGTATCCCCCCCAAATCCCCTCCCTCCCCATTTGGCGCATTTTCTAGTGGTAGGATTTGAATTCTTTCGTTGGATCACTACATCTTGTGCTTGCCATTCATCTGTAATGAATCGTCTTGAATGTTTTCATCAGCGTGAATCAGACTGTATATTCATGTTTGACTTGGAATTCTTATGCACGTGGATTGGTCTCGAATTTATACTCCCTTCAATTTTCCCCTTCCCCTGGCAATCCTTCCCAAGAACTAAATTGCAACCACTCCATGCCCTTCTCCATCTCCCATCTCCCTGTATATCAAAGATTTGTCTGTTATCATTTCACCACTGCAGCAATTCCTCAGTTTCATCTCCCAACTCGGTCGTCCATTCCTCCACTCGTTCGTTCGTTAGCTCGTTCCAAGCATGCGTGTCAGCTACGTAGACTTTGTGTACACCTCTGGCTCAGTATCCTTCCTTGTGTCCTACTGTCTGTCTATCTGACCAGGAACCGAATCAACGATTGCTCCACGTTCACTGCGGAGGGCATAGCTTGACATACACCACCACAATCCATCCTTTGATTATAGTAAGCCGGAGTGTATATATTTATTATAAGCTTCTGTTCCTCTCTTGTAGCAGATCTATAGTGCGCAGCCTATGGAAATCTAATTACGTGCTAGCTCGATTGATCCTTCGTCATGCATAAGGGCGGTTACTAAGATGGTCTCAACGCGCTACGCAGGGCCCCGACATCGTTTCTCGAATTTTACTTTGCTGTTGGTATACTTCATGGCGTCGGCAATTCTGCTCCTGTTCTACTTCTTCTCGGTGACGTCCGTCGTGTTAAGCTATCCGAGCATGGATTACCATCGTGGAGTCGACTGTAGAGATTACAAGGATGCGCTTTCAAAAACATTTCTATTTTATGAGGCACAGCGTTCTGGAAAACTGCCGGACTCTCAGCGTGTGAAATGGAGGAAGGATTCGGGCCTCAGTGACGGAGAAACTGTAAATGTAAGCACAGCTTCGAAAACATCACGAAGATTTTTCCTCCTCTCTACTCCCTCCCTCTCCATGGTACACTAGTGGTTCAAGGGCGTACAGTAAGTACATTCTGAGGGAAAAATCCAACCGAGAATGTCAGTCCTCTGCGATCCTGGTTCTAATTCGCAGGCCGGGTATCACTCAATTTCAACAGATCCATGCGTCCGAATTCACGAGGAATGTGTCAATGTGACTTGGAATTCTCGTCTCGGGGGTCCAAAGGTTTCACACGGTAATGAATTCGAGGGCTTCATATCTGTTCGCGCACTACCACAATGACGAATGGATTCCTCCCTTTCTAGGAATTCGAACCTGCTATCGATCGTGGAGAGACAGCGTGATCGAGTTTCATCGAGACCGAGGCTTCGCGTCTTTTTGGAATTCTTTTCTCACGAAAATTGTTCTGCAGATAATTGTGCACGTAGTTTTCTGCGGCCATAGTCGCATGATCCTTGAAAAGGATCCAGTGCGAATTTGCAGGGGCCTAAAGGAACTGCGACTTTTAACGCTAGGAGTGGCCGGACGACGCTCTGTGGTATTGCAGGTCTCAAGCGAGTCCAAGAGGAGATTCTCGGTTGCTAGGACCAGAAATTACTGACGTAATTCAAAGCGGGCAGGAGAATTCGCGGAGGACTTTGTATCGTAACACGATATTTTGGGGTGCATGCGAAAGCTGCATTATGTGCAACCGCGGATGCTCCCACGACCTCCACTAGAAGCGATCTACAATGAACTTTTGACTTCGAGGATCCAACCTCCGTAACGAAAGATCTGAAAGATTCTGTCCAAACAAGGACCAATTCATCGTCCTTGGACGACATGTCGGCTGCCTCACGGGCACAAGAATAACCAAATTACCAAGCAATGCTAATCACCTGATGGTCTTGGGGCGACCAGGTCGACATCTCCCGGGCTTCCCACGACCACTTGGGAGACTAAGAGACTGCAATATCGAATGTTGAAGTAGTAGTAGAAGCCTTGCAAAGGATGAAGAATCTGTCCCAGATTCTGTAGGATGTTGACGTAATGTGTAATACTTGTCGTGGCTGAAACTGAATATACTGCAGCTACTACTATTACTAGTCCGCCTACAGTGAACTAACGATACGATCCTTCAGGTGGACTTATCAGGTGGATACCACGATGCGGGCGATAATGTAAAGTTCGGATTCCCGATGGCGTACTCCATTACTTTACTGGCATGGAGTGTCGTGGAGTACGGCGACTTTTTGCAAAAAGCGGAGGAGCTGCAAAATGCACATGAAGCCATCCGCTGGGGAACGGACTTTCTCCTCAAAGCGCATACGGGTCCAAACGAGCTCTGGGTCCAGGTATTGCGTTCACCTACCTTCACATCGAAGCTTCATCTCGTGTAACACTAAAGTTGTAGTAACTGTGCGTTTCGCCGCTGTAGCTGATTCTCCACAGCGACCCCCCCATCCCCCGTGCCACTCGCTGTGCGCTATTCGACAGCGGCAACCCCACAGCCGAGCCCAACTCGCTCGGCTGAGCTCAGCTGAACCCACTCGCCAGTGGGCATCGCAACTGCATGGCCATCCTGAAGAGCCAAAAGCTTCGGTCGATCGAGGATGTGATGATTCCGTCTTTTTACGTGTTGGATTCAGGTAGAGATGGAATTTGAGACTCCGATCAGCGTCTTACTTTCTCCTCCCTCCCTCCCTCCCTTTTCGTCACCTGCATACACACAATTGACGAGTACAGGCTGGACGAACATATTCGACTTTGGAATATGATCTTGAGCTTAGCCAGCTCTGGCCGACAGACAAAAGAACATAATTTGCATGGCGAGAATAGTCGATTGCCGTAGTGGTTGATGTCACTGGCCTACCGAGTTGACCCAAAAAACTACCATGTATTGGATTCTGTGAGCTTCATAAAGTGGTGCTGGCTGGGTGTAGGTGGGCGACGCAAACGCAGATCATATGTGCTGGGAGAGACCAGAGGATATGGATACGCCTCGAACGGCATACAAAGTCGATAAAGACAACCCTGGCTCGGACGTTGCCGGCGAAACAGCTGCTGCTTTAGCGGCCTCTTCCATAGTCTTTCGAGACGCGGATCCTGCGTACGCGAAGCGACTTCTTGCGAGTGCGCAGCAAGTAAGACTCGACTGCTCGATACGGATCGAGTCTTCGATAGGCAATCACATCCACTAGATCCTGTGAGAGAAAGCAATTCTCCCTCGAAATATCCACTTTCCATGAGCCCAGATAAATTTCTTCGCCTGATGGTTAAACTTGACGGAATTTGACATAATACTTTTCACATGCTTGGTGCATTCACTCATCCTCATAGCGCATTTCCAGGATGTTACGGTCAAGTTAGAGCCTCGATCATTTCAAGTGATTGTTTTGACTTTTACCGACGTGTGAGCAGTTATTTGAGTTTGCGGACAACTATCGAGGCAGATACAGCGATGCTGTGCCGGCGGCCTGTCCATTCTACTGCTCCTACTCCGGCTACAAGGTAAGAAGTGGCCTCCACCAAAGGTCACTAATTTGAGTTTATGTAGGTGTCGAGAACTTTCATAATTTTGTATAGATTTGGGAGGTGTCCCATCAAAAGGTTACTGGATCTTGAGAAGTTTCTTAGCACATCACTGTAATCCACCCATCTTTCCAGGTGTTCGTCATCTAGGCTTAAGACCCGGTATACTCTGCCGCTTCAATCTTTTCCCATCAGCATTAGAAATTTGCAACAGGAAATGACTGTTTGGCGTCGATCCTATTCCGTCAATTTCGTGGCACACAGTACAGCATCTCACAGTGCATTTGCTATTGCTATTGCACTGATTTGCTTCACAGGATGAGTTGCTGTGGGCAGCCACCTGGTTATACAAAGCTACGAATGATGAGGCCTATCTTCGATACATCCTGAACAGTGCCGATGATTTTGGGGGCTACAAGTCTTACAGTGCTTCAACTTGGACACTAGATTGGGATAACAAATTTGCTGGTGCGCAGATTCTACTGGCGCAGGTATGTACTCACTCTCTGAGTGTATATCGTCACACAGATTTCTGAGACACACTTCTCTTGCTGCTGCATACTTTAATCCCTCATGAGCTTATTAACTCGTGATTTAGAAAGGACAGTGTATGATCATACGGACGAACCTTAAGACCTACCAAAAAACAATAAACGCAAATTTACATAATTGGCTTTGGATCCGTTCACATCAGACTTGTTCAGAAGGTAGATTTCGTAGAGTAAGAGATAAATAACGTGGTGGACGATTTTACCGACTAGGTTGACACATTAGGTGCTAAAATATCTTTTGTTTCTTATGCGCTAGACATACTTGCTGGGGAACACAAAATTCAAAGCGCAAAAAAACTGGGCAGATAAATTCGTGTGTTCGACGTTACCTGGTCTTTCAACTACCGAAGTAACAATAACTCCAGGTTTGTTGTCTTGAAGACCACAACCCACTTTTATGGTCTCGAATTCTGGAGATTCTTATGACTCGTCCCGATCTAACTTCCTTCTTATTCACCAAATTACACACTCTAGTGAAGGACAGAACGAGTGAACAGCTTTGTTATAGGTCGGAGAAATCAACAGAATAGACCATTCATTGGCCTGTCCGAGTGTTGGATCTATTGTTCTGTGATACTTAGGCCCTAGGAAGTCAAAAGACTGCAGTGATTAACAATATCTCCAGTCAAGAACAAAATGGTTTTGCACATTTATGAAGTCATGTCTATGTGTAGGCCTTCGGAAAAAATGCTCTCCTCTTGAAGGCATTTTGCACTAATTCTGAGGGTCCCCGGTTTATAAGAATAGGGGAGAGGATTCAAGAGGAGTTTGCGTTCTTTCTGATGAAGTGTATGGATATACTGCTCACGATACAGGTGGACTTCTGTTTACAAAACCAGCTAGCAATTTCCAGTATGTGACATCAACGGCATTTCTACTGATGATCTATGCAAAATACTTGCGCAAAAGCTCTTCGCAGCTGTATTGTAATCACATGCCCGTCTCAACGCATACTTTGAGTAGTTTCTCGAAGCAGCAGGTATGATATGCATTCACGTCTATTCAAAATGATATAGTAAGTTAAAAATCTTTAATGTTCATCATAGCTGATAGATGTCCGAACGAACCTTGCACAGCTATCTGTGGAGAAGGAAGAGACCAGTGGAAACTCCTGAAGAATAACCTGCACAAGGCTTTGGCTTGAAGCTATTTGCACTCTCTTGGTGCGCACTAGAACGACGTGAAGAGCGAATACTCTGTGTTAGCTGCTAACAGCAGCAAGTATGGCGTTTGCAGGTGGATTACATTCTCGGAACCAACCCTAGCAATATGTCATACATGATAGGATTCGGCTCAAAGTTTCCCAAGCGCCTTCATCACCGAGCATCTTCGATCCCTTCAATACACGTGCATCCCGCCAACATCAGCTGCAGAGATGGATGGCAGTTCTTTGCAGAGACAACTGAAAATCCAAATATACTTACCGGAGCGCTCGTTGGCGGTCCAGACATCTTCGACATTTACCAGGATGCTCGTTGGAATTTTGAACAGAGTGAGCCCACGAATTACATCAATGCTCCTCTCGTGGGACTGCTGGCCGAATTGTACGGTGTCAACGCAGTACCTTGTAAAAAACTAAAAGATGGTGAGAATGCGGAACCTTCGGCGGCCGATGGCGTGAGTAAAATCTGATCAGCCTCTCATTGTTAATATACATGTGCAATATCCTCGATTACGGACTCGCGAGTCCCTTGCTGATCAGCTTTAGCCTTGTACAATACCGGGGCCTGCACATTCGATACCCTGATAAATTGCCGATTCTTCACGTGGTTGGAGAATGGTGGGGGCCATGGATACCCGCAATTTTATAAGATGTAACAAACTTTGGGAAGGACCTTCACACACATCTCATTCGGAGAAGCGAATCGCTACCTACGCCCGACATGGCCGGAAGAAACTGGTCATCATCGAGAGAGAAACAGCTAAGCCTTGCAGGGGACAACACAGTCGACTCTCTTTCTCTCTCAATACTCAAAGTCGCTACTCGACAGAGGTATGATTTGTAAGGCCTCCAGGACCCATATCGAATCAGAAACATCGTTGTTACATACAGAGAGCGGCAACTGATTGTGGAGTTGTACCAAGAAAATGATCGACGACGATCGAGAGAGTGGATCCTTCTCCAGCAGCTTACTCATGTACGTCATTGGTCTTCCCTAGCTGGAAACGTCTAAATCCGCCAGCCTTCTATACTCATGCTCTTTACGTTCTAGCTTGCTCTGCTCACAAGACATCATATCAGCCTCAGATCAGCCTCCCTGTACCTACTGCTGGGAAGGGTGAATGGCTTTGGTGGATGACAGGGGTGCGCTTACAGGATAATGAAAAGACTTGCCTCTGTTTCGTCTGCTCAAGGGTTGATCATTATTACCCTCTTCGGTTCGGCCATGATACTCTCTTGGCCTAAGAGAGGACGTAGGATTATAGCAATAGTGGTAGCTCAGGTTGTTACTCTAGGTTAGTTAGATATTGTTTAAGATACAAACCATTGATTCCATGGATTATCAACAAGTCGTAGGCTCCAACATACAGTAGCACCATCCTTACTGGGCGATACAGGCACTTCGTTGTAAAAGGAGTAGCGCAGAATAGCCCTGGTCATGAGTCACTTCCTCATGATAGACGAGTTCGGTCGAGTTTTGCCAGTGACTTCGGCCGCCAAGCAGGGGCATTCATGTAATACTTCTGCCCGTATCCACAATTCAATAACACGAATAAGGTTGAGCACCTCGTCTTGATTGTCCGTTTCGTTCGCATGACCTTTTTCTGAAAGCTTACTCAAGCCCCGGCCTGGTCTTACTGACTCCTCCAACTTCGCTCATGACTCGGACTGCGATCCGTTTTCTTTCTCGGCAATGCGATATCATTGCCTTGTGTATCACACACGGCACGGATATGGTTCAGTCAAGCAGTTCGCAGTCGAAGCAGTTCGGCCTGAATATCTTGGTGTTTCATTTCATGAAGTTCATTGTCAATGTATCTTTTAGAAGAGGAAGACTTGACACTGGCTCCTCAGCCGCATACGTTTGGTGAAGCATAAAATCGGCTATCACCTCAGCTGACTGCTTTTGAACATTTGGCAGTTATCGAGGAGGCCAAATGCCATGTGGGCCAAGACCACAGGGGCAGAGGTAACTCTAATCTTGCAGATTACGATGCACTTGTTGTAGGTCAAATCTCGCCTCCATGTCGCCACGTAGAAAAAGCATTCACTTGCATCTTGAGGAATTGCTGAGAAGCAGGCACATCTCCGTGAACTTTTGACATTTGGTGCGGCCTGGTCCTTCGGAAGGTGCTGTTCTCTTGTGAACAGAGTCTGTTCTAGGAATATCTACTGACGAAATTCCTGAAATTTGAACTTCGATTCTGGTTAGTAGTAATGAGGGGTTTCGTTAGACACACGAACATTGTCGACAGATCAGCCATGTGATGGAATTTGTTAAGCACGGATACTTTCTGCTCATGGTCTTCGGCGATAGCCGGAGGCAAAAGGATCTAGACGTCGAAGACACTGCTGACGTAACAGTGTCTTGCAAAGTGTATAAATTTAGAGGGATCTCGTACGGCCGCCGCGAAGGTGATGTAGTTTATACATTTCTGAGGGTTCGTGCAAATGGATACGAAATTACAGGGCTCTGTTACCGCCTAATAAAACGACTCGTATCGATGGAGTAGCCATTGATGCTCTACGATGACCTCCATTGATCACGATCGGATAAGAGCCCTCTACGTGGATCGTACTTGTAATCCCTCGACTCGGCTAAATATCTCCAAAATAAAGACCTGTATTTCACCTTTTCTGGGCGGTAGTTCCAAATTATGATTTTCCAAACTCGCTGGCGGAAAGCATTCCACCCTTCTACTCTGTACGCGACCAGAAGTTGGTGAAAAGTACTAAGCACTCTTGGTTGTATGTCGAGAAAGTAAAATCTCAGAAACAGCTATGACATCTCAGTAGCCATCATAACTATCATTCCTCAGCTTCAGTCAACCTCTCTCAGAGTCAGGCTCTAGATGCAGTCGTAACATCCTCCTCGACATAAGTCAATATGAGAGCCACCGTTAGTCTTTGTACACGCGCATGGAGTATGAGGCCAGCCATTCGAGCCGAGCTCGGTCAAGAGTCGCGGGCTCCCTGGCTCCCTGCGTGCCTAGACGAGGCTGCTGCAGCTGCTGCTCCTCCTGCAGAGTGAGGCGGAGATACTTCTTCTGCTCGCGTGACTTCTTATGTGTCCGCTGTGTTCGAGCGACACACCTTCTCTCGCTCACAAACACTCCGCGCTCGGGTTCGACTTCTCCTCACTGCTTCGCTGCTGCTGCTGCTGCTCCTCCTTTTTCGCTACCGCCACCTCGAAAGATGGAAGCCGATCAACGACACCTTGAACCCTACGACGAAGCTGCTGCTGCTGCTGCTGGCGGGGCTCGTACGAGCTACAGAGAGGCAGACAGAGTGACAGTCCGCAATGTGTCGCTCCGATATCTGAGGGTCATGATCTCGTCCGGTGATGTGATCGAAAATGCAGTAGCATCGGACGCTATTCTATCGTCCCTGCACCAGCATCAGGCAGTAGGTCATTGGCAGGGTCGTCTTGTCATCGGCCCGAGGAGAGGCCAGAAGAATGTTCTGATTCGCGGATTTCAGAAGATTCATCTTCGTGCCTGTGGATTTTCAGCATACGACGAAAAGCGCCCGAAGCTCGTATGCTTGACACGGACTTCGTCAGATATCTCCCGAGCTTTCCTTTATGTCCAGATGCTGCAGTTCGCCTCGAGCTGCATTTCCATTTCTGGAGCCCTGAGATATTCTCGCTGCGGTCATCATGACACGCCGAGTCCTCGCCTTCGAGTCCTGTCACGAGAATAGAAACATCTCCTCCCTCCGCATTCTTCCAAATCCTGTCAACAGATTCTGCAACACGGTTGCGAATTCGGCGAACGACAGGATGGACCCCGGGGCGATTCCATTTCGGGATCCTCCGCATGTCGACCATGCGAGATTTGGAATCGGCATTTATTGCCGGTCCTTGGGTCAATCCGCAGTTTCGCTCCATAAATTCTACGTCGCAGTTCTCTGCACCATCGGCCAGTCCCCGCCCGGCCATCCTTTCGTCCCATCCCGTCCCGCATGACTACACTCGGCCGACGGCTCTTCTCTCCCCATCTCCCCCTCTCCCTTGACATGTCGCGGATCTTCTGCACAGGATGCGGCCGGGAATCTTGCGTTCACTGCACCGGCCAGTGGCCGTCTCGAGCTGTTTTAGGTTGAAAAGGCCGCGAGGCCACAGCTCTGAATTGCCATTGGCCACTCTGAAGCTCCAGTTGGCGCTGCGAACTATTTTTACCGCAAGAAAAGGTAGGCGTCGTTCCTCTCCAGATGCCCGGAGGAAACTTTTGAGTTGAGCACGAGGGCTTTGGTTTCAGTCATGAGCTCTGGCATCTTCTTTCGTTCGCAGTCTGCTCTCGTCATGTCTCCCTGCTCGTCCATTAGCGCCACTCTGTCCGGCCGTCGGCGCCAAGGGGGGGAGGGCAGGGGGAATGCCGCGCAACAGAGGCTGCTCTCAGTGCAAGAGCTGCCGCGCTCAAGGCGGGGCAAGCTGGGCGGGTCCATTGGGGCAGCTAATGCTGCTGTGTCTGCCGTGGGATGTTTGCAGAAGCTCGGTTTCCGAGCCTGGGAGATTTGTGATTGGGGTAGATTGGATGTCGATATGGATAGTTGGGGATTTAGACCATATACGACGCTCTAACCCGGAGAGTGGTTCGACTTGAGCTCTCTCGGGGAATCAATCCTGGTTTCCACCTTCTTTCGTTCACGAGGCGAAAGTGCGCCTTCGTGCGGATCCTATTTAGTAGCTCTCATCTCCCATTTCTTCGAGCGCACATGTGTGGTGCATTGGTTCTCTTATCGGTCATCCCACATGCTTGCCACTACTTAATGTGGAACGCTAGGACGTGTGGATGCTGATTCTCCGCATCGGCCTCGACATTTCTGGACGAACATGCTGCTGCGAGGGGGATGGGGAAGGGGATGAGGAAGGGGATGGGGACGGGGAGGGTGAGGAGGAGGAGGAGGCCAGCGTGCGCATCGATTCTGTCGTAAGTATTCTCTTCTGGCGCAGGTGCAGCCAGAGCACTGTCGCGCATCGACGCTGTGTCCTGATTCTCGGAAATCCACTTTCCCCTGTTCCGCTGGTCGGTCCAATTTTCTCTGATATCCGCTGATGTTGTCTTTGACCTCCTCAAGGCTCAAGAGCGCAGCATTATTATTATATGCATCCGACCGAGTGATGCAGTCGAAGCCGAACGTGCGTTTGTTTGTTTGCTCGCGCCCTCTAGCCCACTCATCTCGAGACACATCGCTCTGTCATTCCTAATCCCCTCCTCCTCCTCTCGCTCGGGCTATCTCCTGTGCGTGATGCACAATGAAATCCACAATGCATCGTGGATTTTTTTGTTCCGAGCTCGAGTGTGCATATTTGTCGGTTGATGAAAGGCCGCAGTGGCGCTTATGGTAACCAGAATAATTCAATAATATATTCATTTTTATTTGCGTATATACCTTTATATATTTTTATATATAGAAGGCCGCGCGAGCTCTCTCACACGACGCCGACGACGCCATCGGACCCAATCGTCCCGAGATCACATTCTGCGACAATATGTGCGCTCTTCGGCTCCATCGCCCGGCTGCAGATGTGTGTACGGGCGAGGAGGATTTCCGATGATTCGATTACATGGAGGACATTGTTTGTGAATACATCACACTGAAACCATTCGCCTCAATCATCACGAAGCCGGTGTACAGTGTGGGTAGGTTTTGACGAGCTGCGGAGGAAGGAGGTGGGAGATGGGGGCAAGGCCGGGCGAGATCTCTCGTTGTGGCGGAGTGGAAACGCGCGTCGTGGAGTGTGCTGCTTACTGTGATGTTGGTGAGGCTCAATCAGATGACAATGCTAATGGATAGCGTAGCCATCAGGCTGAGCCGCTCCAATATCACATTCTGTGATCTCCGCACTCCGATGGTGGTGGTGATGATGCCGATTGACGTTGCGGCTGGGGACCAGGCATTTGGCTTGCCTCCTGCGCTCGTGGAGAATCACACCACCGATTCCGACACGCTGCAGCCTCGCCGAGCGGATAAAAATATCTTCGGATTCTCTCTCTAGTACATCATCAGCCCATTGGAGGGAAATAGAATGCCGCTCGTAGCAGCGAGTGGCTGAATGTTGACGCCTTTTTAAGCCATGCGAATATATCTTGGATTTTCTCGTCTCGCAGTTCGCCAATTCTCACTGTGGCCCCGTTCTCTCACATTTTGAGTAACTGTCGTTGGATTTAAAATTGGTGTTTTCACTTTCGGAATTCTGCCCAGACGTAGCTTGCGTCTCGATGGCATCTTCTCCGAGCGAGATACTTTTGTCCCCGATCATCATGAGGTCGTCATGTCTGTCGCCGGTCGAATTTTAAGTGGCAGAACGAACCAAATCAGGAATCCAGGTCAACTCAACCAGTTGCCGGATTTTTGGTCGAAGCCGTGGTCTGCCTGCCATCGTTGTGTTCCTATCGAGTATCGCGTATGGCTTTCTTTATGAGCGAATGAAAATCGACCGCATTGCGATGCTGCCGCGCTCACGCACAGTAACTAGCACTCGCTCGCTAGCGATGCGATGACTTTCACGAGGCGGTGACATCACGTCGCCCGCCATCGAACTCGACCGATCGCGCCATGCTCACGCTCGTTCCTCCCCTTTTTCACCATCCCTTCTCGTGGTTCGCTCTCGGCCCAATTGTCCCACTTCCGCTTTCTTCGTTTGACTGGTGTTCCAACACTTTCTCGGGAGATCCACCAGTGCCCAATGGCGCCGGATCTTCTCAGCAGAGCAGGGAAGTGGGGGCGAGCCCGCCCCCACCCCCACCCCCTCCCCTGGAGGGTGCTCTGCCTGTCGCTTTATGGCTGCGAGCCTTGAAGGGCGTGAAATGGCTTTACTCCGCTCTGTGCACAGTTCGAAGTCAATCGTTTGAATCTCGAAATTGTTAAATATTCGCAGCAAAAGTCAGCACGGGCTGTGAGCTCCGAGGCTCTACGTCATCTCCCGGATGCTTTTTCCGCCCCCCGGCGAGACTGTCCCTCTCGTGGTGTCTTACACGGGCTATTTCGGGCAAGCACCATATCTCTCTCTGCGGCTTCGCTCTCGCGGCAGGGCTGTGAATAAGTGGGGGCACATTTCAAAAGCTCAGCCAATCATGTGCGCCGAACCCGAAAGCTACCGACATGCTGCGGCAGCAATTTCCCAACGTGCGGAGTGGCGCAGTTGCCCCCCGCCCCCCACATTTGAGCCTCTGCGCATGCCTTTCCGATCGAACAGTGGCGTGCCCAGCCTCCATCTCCATCGTTTGGACCGGAAGCCCGGCTGTGCGTTGGCGTTGGCTGGCGCGAGCGAGCGAGCGAGGAGAAGTTGGTGGCCAGGAGATTTCCTCCATAATCATTTCCAACTCGAATGAATCCATCAATCAACATGTTGCCCTTTGCCAGCGCCCGAGGGTTGAGAGGTCGACAGGCTCCAGACAGACACACGATGCCGATCCATGCCTAACCCAACCCATCCCAGCCCAGCCCAAAGCTCCCCCGCCCCCCTCCATTCCCCCACGCCTGCCGTGTTCGCCTGCAATGTGATTGCTCCGAGTCTGGGAACGCGGGTTGTACGACTCCATTAAGGCCACTAAGCTAACAGTGCCAGCGTTGATTCTTCCTAGCTAGCCATCGCTCGCTTTACACGGTTCTTGCAGAAACAATAGCAGCACCAGCGGTGATGGAATGTACAGTCCTTGCCAGGTTCGCTACTGCTGCTGCTGCCGCCGCTGCGCAAGAAGCGTAGCGCTTCAGCATTTCACCAGAACCATGAACTCGAAACTTTTAAACTATCTGGAGCCGGAAGTGGGGAGGCTGCAATTTAGTGGAGCCGTGGCTTGGGTTTTGTTGGCCTTCCACTTACATACTGCACTAAATCCTCACCACATTTCTCGCCCTGGAGCCTGCAGGATGAGGATGCATTTAGTCGTTTGCCTCGTCGTCGTTTTTTCACGTTCAGCGACTGAAATACCTCAAATTTTAGGGATAGTTTAATTAATGCTTTATCTAATTTATTGAGATTTCGTAATCATAGTGAAATTAGAGATTCAATCTGATAACCATCTGATCTCTGTCTGTCTGTGGATTTCATGGCTGGAATGCACTCGCTCTATGGATTTCATGGCTGGAATGCAAATGCGTGCCCCGCACGCAATGAAGAGTCGGACATGAGGAAACGAAAGCAAATCTCGAGGTAAAACTGCATGTTGAAGCGGCGGGCGCTCAGGTCAGAGCAGTTGTGCTGAAGTTCAGAATTCGCGAATCATTGTGACTCGCAGCAGCAACAGCCAGGCGGCCAGCAGGTTGTTGGATTGTGGAAAACATCGGTGCTTTTCCCGAGATAGCATGCAGCAGGACGATGTCCATGGTTGAGGGTACCACTGTTGCTGCCCCCGAGCTGTTGTTGTCCGCTCAACAACCTCAGATGGATCCGCATCGCAGATCTCTTTCCGGATAGAATAGTGTGGTTTGTCTATCCGGCAGTCTTTCTGGCAGGTGAGGTCGAAGGTGGAGAAGTGTAGTGAGGCGGTTCTGATTTGAAAGTCGCTAGCAATATACGATCCGCTCTATAATTGCTCGCTAGCCCATTCGATTCACAGATTGGACACTCGAGCCCCTTTTCTCCTTCCTCACGAACATGTCCGCGAGTCGTAGATACGGAGTGTCGTGGGACACCATAACAATTGGCTCGAAAGATCTGGATCTATGCGTTCACTGTTGCTAATGTTTCTAATACTGCGTGGTCAAGGAGGCCTGCATGAGTGTCTTGAACCGAAACCTGCAGACGTGGGCTTTGTACATGTACAAACTATACCTGTAGCGCTTCTAGAGAGGTGTGGAAACTACAGCTTTCCGTGATGATCATGAACTTTTCGCCAGGAGGGATTGGCAGACCTCAAATTGTACCACCTACCGTAGACATTAATGCTGTGGAGCTTCAACTTCTCATGAGTGCTGGTGTGGTAGTGGTAGAAGTATTAGCAGTGACTCACTTCGATATAACCTATCAAGAGCGCCACCTCCATCATGATCCGAGTTCCGGGCCAAACGGAGAGCACGCACAGGTGAATGGATCCCGAGGAAGAAGTCCCGCCCCTCCCCACAAGCAGCCAATTCCATGGGCTTCGCTGTCGGAATTCGAGACAACTATATGTATACAGTGCTGAATTGAATGACGTAGTTTGATGTACCTCATATGAGGTCTGTAGGCTGTGAACCAAAACACCCATGATGTTGTTCAACTGTCCATGTGTCCCTGCCTCTCTCGTCTGGTCGCGCCGAGGAGATGGCACTAGAATTTGATAAACATGTTGGGGGTCGGGGTCGGGGCTGGGAGATAATAAATGTGCTCTCTAATGCGGCCAATATCTGGATTTACTCTCGGGTGATTGTTCCGAGGCCGCATGCAGAGGTCACTACTACTCGGGTGCTGTTTCTGCTAGCATTTCATCATGCCATCTCAACAACTTCTACCTGAGATCTTGCTTCTCGTAGGGTATTCGGGACATGCTGAAATAAAAACTGACCGATCTTAAAGAGCCCACTGACAGTAACTGGACCACGGTTTAAAGCCACACTCGCAATTCACCATGGCCATATCATAGGACACCACATGGTCTGCCGATGCTGCTCCGCAAGCACTGAAGTGTCGTGGGCAATCCTTTCACTGAGATACTCTCGGTCAGGATCTGGATCTCTTCGCCTTGGTGTCGATGTATGTATGTCGACTGCGCGTCTTCATGAGTGTCCGCAATGGTACCAGGGAGCTGGACAGAAGCCTGCAGCCTGAAGATTGTACACCACCAACACCTCCACCACCACCACCACCAACATCACCATCCCATCCCAGCCTAGCAGTTTTGCTGTAAGCATGAACGACTATCATCCTTGCATGATCGTTGTACCAGTGTCACCACTTTCCAGGCAGAGACCAGGCGACGATCTTCAGCTTCCCGCTGTATCCGATCCCCTCGAGCTCCACTGCACGCACGTCATTGAATCATTGAGGTGAGTTGAATGCACAGAGTTGACTCCTTGGTCCCCACAGTACCCCAACGCAAGGTCCTCAAAATTGGCGCCTCGACGGCGAGCACTCACATCTCTGATACCACGGGATTCAGGAGGATTGCCTTAAACTATTGTATATAGCCTCTATATCCGACATGGAGTAAAATCCCTCTACTTCCGATGGCTTTGTGGCAAAATGAGCTGGGTTTTTCATGACTAGTGAGAGATGATGTCTTTCGGGGACTTCCTTCCAGGTCTCGCGACTGACTTGTCTCGTATGTGTTGTAGGGCAGAATCTGGCGGGATCATGATCTGCTCGTCCTCATTGTCCGATAGGCAGATCAAATGAGATTTGCACCGGTGGTGGCCAAAAAAGAATGCACGCGCAAAGCCACCCTTCGCTAGCTTTCCACCTTGTGCCCCTAAATTTGCTGCATAATGGAAAAGTGTCCAGTTTCTGATGCACTGAAAGCATCTTTCGTCCTTCATGTCATGCCATTTGAAAGGCCAGTGTTGTTGACTCTATGCAGCGACTCGTGCATTGTTCTGTGCAGTGACTCCTCCAGTAATGATAACAGTGATCATGTTATGACCAATCATGAAATCAAACCCCTTCTCATATGCATCATGATCATGATCATGACGACGAGAGTAAGCCATTCATGATCCTTGAGTCCTCAGCTCAGTAATTTCATGCGTGTCACGAAAATTTAAAGCCCTAGGCTTTACAGAATTTATGCCACGGGATAATCGTCATGACTCGTTCAGACTGATATTGCTTCTACTCCAACCAGCGATGTTAGGAAATATCCAAATGAAAGTTTAACTTCCATGGGCAGTATATAAATCCTCATACATGAGGTAACTTCCAGATTCTGAATCTCGTGGTGAAACTCATGCATGTTGCACGCAGCGATGGACCCCACTTACGGGGTTTATGACCTCATACCAGAGCTAATGTCGGTCCCCTATTCATTTTCTGGGCAGCTGTATTTATTTGGCAATCAGAAACGCACAGTCATGTGAAGCATCGAATTTCAATCTCATCCGTTACTGTCTGATCTGCGACATTAAGTTGCCCTGGCAAATGAAGAGCTTTCCAGACTCGATCTGCATTCGAACCGGACAGTTATGTTTCCTCGTAGCTTCTTGTCTCCACTTCACGTGACTGCGTCGTCTAGATCGACTTTCCAGCCTCGATGTGCAAACCAATCAGCCGGCATTTTCTGTTCTGCATGAGTTTCCACCTCTCCTTGAATTCCATCCTCAAGTAGCGTCACGCTGAAGGGTCAATGAATGTATCATACTCGGCAACTCTCTGATCATGAGACTCCTTTAGGGCCAAATAGTATCAGACTTCCAAAAACTTTTTCCCTGTGGAGTTCCATCTGCAGTTCAGCTTGTACCTCAGTCAGATCGGATTGTAGGTCGAGATTGCTGGGCGAGGTGTACAGACATCGTGACAGGAGGCTCGTGCGCTGAATTTCAAAGATTTGGTTCTCAGCCCAGTAAAAGGTAGTAAATCTCACTGGATGCTAAGAAATACATGGTCGGTACCTCCCGCGCTTCTTCTTGAAGTTGCATCCGCGGTGGACCTTTGTGCATCTCTGGATGGAAGGAAACCTGGCAATGGGCACTGCAGGATCGATTCATCTTCCCTACATATAATATAAGTTTAGGCCCCCGGGAGTATCGATCCTTCGCGGCTAGTCAACGGACCATTTATTTCGTTGAATGCTGCAGTGCCAGCCATATTGTAGGAGGTATTGACCCCACCGACCGCGAAGCCAGTGAATGCTGCTGCTGCTGATCAGCGATCGAGCTGCTGCTTTCAGGCTTTGACTGACTCGAGGGTCACCACGAGGATGCGGACAAGGGCGAGGCAAGTAACTGTTCGCACGGCGAGCAGGCCAGACTATGCCACAGGAGCCGAGCGAAAAGCCGCGTTCATGATGCTTCGACTTCTTCAATGCTTATTAAAGAGCTCCCGTTGGTGTAGGTACTACTTACTGTAACCATCTACTTGTCATAGACTTCTAGACATGTACCCAGCACCGACCCATTGGTGCAAACTCGACGATCGTCAGAGTGCACCTACGTGAGAGAGTGCCTGAGAGAGTGACTACTGAGTGTGTCCGTGTATCTGTGTGTGTGTATATATATGTGTGTGTATGTATGGGGGTGCCTGTGATTCCCATTCCAACAGTGACAGTACATAGCTAGACGGACTGGGGGCAGCCATGGGCCGAGCGGATGCGATGCGCGATGAGATGTAGCCCGGCGTACAATGAAAAACAGCTGGTGAACCCCAACTCCTCGAGTGGAGCTATCATAAGGTCCGAATCACGCTACCTGCGCTCCTGAGCTGTGTGGGAAACGTGATAATGCCACAGATTGCACTCTGGACTCTCTTCACTGCTCGCTCGTCACTCGCTCCAGCCTCCCTCATGATTCAATCATTCACTCTCGAGTGGCTCGACCCACCATATGTCTCCAATGAATTTGTCCCCACAATTTGGGTTCGCTGCAATGTCACACCTTCATTCGTTCATATCTCGTTGTCATGACTCACGTCCAGTGCCGGGCGGGCAGTCTGACTCGCTCGCAAACCATGCCCCGATCCCATCGCTCTGCATGTTCTATTCTACTGGCGATGGTATAGGACTCTCTGCAGCCCTCTGCAGCTTTCTCGAGTGTAGAGTACTGCAGGCCACAGTGATAACGATGCACGTGCACAATTCCAGGTCGTCGTCCGGTGGCTCCATCTCAGAGGCCCGCGGGCGCAAAAGGCTACAAGCCGTTCAAAAGCTCATGCACAATGTAAACATGATGTCCTCCTAATCGAGACATTCTGAGGAATAGATGCGTCGGCATGAGAATGAACGAGAGTGCTCGAACACCTAAGCTCGACCTTCGTCATAGTATGGAAAAAGAAAGGAATAAGGGTCGATGCCTTTTCTAATGCGAGATCATATTTTGTGATCTTTTGATCGGCCATTTATCCCTTATCATTGAGTTCTTATCCCAGTCACGCATTCTTCTGAAACGTATATCCTATACTTCCATGCAGATACCCACTTGAAATTCTTATATATAATAAACAACATGACTGACTCGGAATCATTCATGCCTGAAACTGTTTGGAACCTGAACTCTATTCCAGCCATGACCGTTCCTGCCTAGAAGGGAGTACTTCAGGTGTGTACGGTTTCATCTTTTGCTCTATATTGCTTGAGATACAAAGAACGATTTTTTCCCAATGAAAAAATCAATTGATTCGGAGAGGGTAATCATTGAAAACTTCGCATAAAATTTGTTTATTGTTAATGCACTTCGCTAACGAAACCTTATGAAGAAAAAAACCGTCATTTGAATGTAGACGACTACAATTCCGTATGTAGAATAGCCCCACAGTAGTGAGATATAGTTTGATACATTCGTAATGAAGAACATAATTCATCTAGGGGAGTGCTAGTTATCTCTCATTTAGGGCTAATTAGCACTCACCCTTGTATACGAGATTCTTTAATTGGTCAAATACCCTACACCCTACAATGATTGTTATTCTTTCTAGCAACCTATAACCCTACATCTACCAATGAGAGAAGAGGTTTAATTAACCTAAGTGAGGGATAATTAACCGGTCCATTGGTTTAACATGTTAGTTTAAAGATTTAGTAAGAATTTTATAAGAAATTGTGTATACAAATTATTGAAAGATTAATGAAAGGAATTGGTCATGTGATTTATGCTGTCTTATAAGATATTCAGTGAGCAATATTCTGAAATGTTTCTTGTGACAATTTTAAATATGATTGATACCACATGGACTTGAAAATGAATATTTTTATATATATGTGCCTGAATATCGAAGTAATTATGATGTCAAATAAAGATTTACCTCATGCATGTTTACAGTTATAAACATATTTTAATCCAAATACACTAAAATCTCCGATACCAAATGTTAAAGACCTCGAAAGGTAATTGTAAACCCGTACGATGCAAATCCTAATGGCACCGCTTGTAAACCATGGGACCAGGCCATGTAAACATTAGCATTTGTCTCTTGGTGAGTGAGAGAGAGAGAGAGAGAGCTTCAAATCATACTTTGTGGTTCTGAACTCATGTAAGTAAGTAGTTCAGGCTATGCGTCAGTTGTGCTGAAGATGCTCTTTGATTTAAGTGATCAGTTTTATGGAGCACAGGTATCTTTTCAAGCGTTATGTTATTCAGAGGCCTTTTAGAATTATACATTGATTAGTTGACAAACCAGCATAACTTTGGGAACTATTCCACCTGCTTCAGTTTTGAAGTTCAAGGCTAAAAAGCAAGACCTCGATTGGATTGACGCTGCATGAATGCAAAGATCTGTAATCATATATTTAGGCACATTTTTTATGAGGTGAGATTGACGTTTATATTCAATGCATTTCGGAATTTGATCATGACATGATGAGTATGAGCCTCATGAATTTTATGGCTTTTTTAATCGCTTCATGAAAGACTTGAGCTTTGAGACCGACGAGAAAGAAAGGAAGTGAGCAAAAGAAAAGTCTCCAGAAATTATGAGCAAGAATCGAAAACATTGTAGACGCAGGTGGACATCGAAGATTTTTTTTCACTTTGAGTTCCACTGCAATCTTTATATTGAATCTTCATTCTAAAAATTATATATTATTAGCACAATAACGATCCGTAAAAAAAAGCTTGGATTTTTTTTTATATAAAATAAAACGAAAAATTCTCAGCGTATTTTAAATTGTAGAAAGTGTAAAAATAAAAACCATAGAAGAGGAGTTGATTCTCATGAAAGTTGCTCATAAAGTCGTTCACTTTTCACAATACAAGACGCACGGATTCGCAGCACTCCAGATGCTCCATGGGACACGAGCGGCACCTCATGGCATGGAGCCCTGGAGAAAATCGGACCGCCTGCTGTCGGTGGCCCTTCGACCTCCACCGGCGACCCTGTCGTGTCGTCTGTAGACGAAGCCGTCTGCCAAACGGTACACAGTAGCCATGTTTCGTGTTGACAGACATATTCCGATCCTGTGAATCCGTTGACTGCAGTTCGGTCGTTCTCATTAGACCTCACAGGCTTCTCACACGGACGGTCCTTGGTGCTGTTATACCCGCTCTGTACCGCTAACAACCGTTCCCATATTTTGGAATAAAGGGCAGATGATTCCGGAGAATCTTTCTGTTGGTGAATCCGTGAGAGAGTTACGCCGTCAACGGGTGAATGTCTGGACTCCGTGAGGAGAATTAGCATCACGCCGTTCAGAGCGGAGGGTATACTTGTCCTCTTTCCTACATGCCTGTCTCTCCTCTGCCAGGTACGTCGGACTTCGATCTTCATGGCATCCAAATGTAAGGATAACGCTGCATTCATATATCTCAATAAGACAAATCGTACTCTATAATCCCGGTGTAAGTTATTATCTAAGAATCTTCTACTATGCCAGAACACTCTACGGAGTATCATGCTGTCACTCTTATATTTTATTTTACTTTGATTTTTTCCTGATTGTAATCTTTCCGAGTATCGAAATTATAATGCCCCATGCATGAGTTATATTTAGTAGTTGGTTTCACGGGGAAAATATACGGTGATATGTAAGGCTATTAAACGGATGACCGACTGTGAACACACTCAGGTGGAGATTTTAATTTATTGCGCATTTTAATTTTAAAATGTGTTTCGTGAGAATGTCGCCCGCTAGCGCACAGCTCCGTCGAGCACGAAGAGCAGGAAGGCTGTAAAGAATATTTTGAAATTTGAAGTTTGAACATCGAGCCGCCTACTCACTCGTAGGCGTCCGGGCCGTCTCTGGATCTCGCGTAGAGTAGTCCGAGGCTCGTCTTGAAGGCGCGGGACGTCCCAACGTCCCGCGCGTTCAAGAATCGGAGCTGCGAGGTGTACCCGGATCGAGGTCAGGGATCGTAGTCGGTGAAATTGCAAGTCGAATCTCAGACATACGGCAAATGCGTCGTAGCGTTATTACGCTCTTCGTGCGTCGCTTTTGACAGTGAATAGTTTTTTTGTGCCGAGCTCTGTCGTTGTCAAAAGCAAGTGTTGTCAATGTCGGCGACGATGCAGCGTTCAAGGCGAAGCTTGATATCTACGGACATCGGATGATGATGATGCCAGGCGTCAAATTGGGTAACGAATCATCTTTACGGCATACGTTTTCCAGGTATCCAATTCACTGCTTTCGGGCCTGCCATGGCCCTCAGGTGCATTAGAAAAACGGCCGCAGAGTAGAATCGATTCAGACGTTCTCACAATGACATGATTTCGGTCCTTTCATGATTGTCAGTAGTTCATTGTGTTCTCTCTGAGAGTTGAGCGTTCAAGGGAGACTTGCGTGTAGCTGACGTTGTTCTATCATTCTTCCCGTCCGTCCAAATTGTAGCAATTACTCCGCCGTACCAATCAAATTTTTTGATGAGAAATCGACTTGGCACAGGCCAGCCCTTGCAGAACGAAAAATGCATGTAAGCAAGAATCTTCCTTGAATTCAAAGTCTAAATGTGTCGTGTACTTCCCGAGTCCGCCTGTCATCTTCGACTGTGGTGTCTGATCTGATTGTTCTACATCTACCAGAATTACAAGCGGCGCAGTCGCAGCTTCTTTATTAAACAAAAGGATCCACCTTCGAGAAGCGGCCGATAGTCCTTACGGTTGTGTATCATACACCTTTATTTGTGTGGTTGAAGTTGCTTAAATTCACAATCGACTCCGATCCTGACTTTGGTCTCCAATGGTGAATGATTGATACATCTACAAACGAACTGTTGAGACTGATGTCGTACGTCATACCTGAAGTGAAACTTCTTTACTCCTCTCTACCTTTTTCTTAGCCTTTGAATTATCTGCTCTAAAGCGGAATGACGCAGCCCGTAGGCTCTGTGCTGGCGTCTATTTACGGGCTACAATTGGAGACTTTGGCGTTGAGCTTCTATACCGTGCTTTTGAACCTGAAATAGCTGACGGATCAGTTAGCAAGACAGACGAGGGGAGAGCCGTTACGCTATCCATGCGATACAACAAACAGATTCCTCTTTAATTGAGTCCTTCTTTCACGACCAAAGGAATTTGCCCGATACATTACAATAGCCCACGTGCTTGCGCCTATAGTAGACATGCGTGGTCGTCGTCTTCAATGTTTGGAGGCAGTATAAGCCTTCCCACATAAAAGCGTCCTCCTTTCCAAGTTAGAATGTCCCGAGCACATGTCTTTGTAAAAGGTTTTTCTACTCCAAGTATTATGAAGATTTAGTTCATATTATGAAGCCTGCCTCACCCGTCCCATGTACAGTCTTCTACCCACCCAGAAACTTTGTTGTGAGGGATTTGTCCCAAAGTTTTATTGGCCATCCTACAGCTGACTGTGCTATAACATTTTACTATCTCTTGATCGTAACAGTGGGAATTCTCTTTCATTTTTTACTATATAGGTAACTCTTGTTACCATAGTAAGCATCGTTCCTCCGGTGTTGGGAGTCAGGTTCTTTTCATGAGTTTCGTCTAGAAACGAGATAGGGGTTCAAAAGGAAATCTAACTGATTGTCTACGTGCTGGGACAAGAGCCGTTCCTATGTTGGATCGATTTCCTGCCACATTGTTTCTGAACACGGATGTCCGAGCTGGTCGCAGCCTTGTATATCAGAGTGACCGTGAATTTCAATGTGAAGAATAACTTAACTTACAGGTGTACTTATCAGTGTTATATCCTACAGATATTTCCATGCGTTGCTTCTCATGCTAAGTTAATGCTGATGCTAAGGTACTCACTACACGTACAAGCGTGTTGATTTGAGGGTACACGAGTCTTTTCTCAGCATGGATATTGTCAGGCTTGGTAATCGGATACGATAGACGGAGATGCCAATCATGCTGAAGAAAATCTCCAAGAAGATGTGATAATCCACTCAAATTTTACTTTTATCTGAAATTGTACCCTTCGCTCACTGTCAAAACATATTCTACTGACCGCACACAACAAGCAGCATGCATAAAGCACCAGGTACATACGGCTCGACACTGACAGGTAGGATAGTAAATTGTTACCGTATCTCACCTAGACTTTAGCTAGGTACCAGTTTTCGAGAGTTGATTTACAGATTTGGATGATGTCTCATGACTCACAACTGAGAACGAAGAAAATGCTTCAAAAGACAACTATGATTGATAAGTTTTTTTTAAGTCATGGATTTCTTTGGCGTCATATATATGATTTGCTAAAACTTGAGACCAACATACAAAGAGCAGTTCCTTCACTCTTCAAATGTCCGCCTGTAACCTTCGGTTGGTGTCACTGAAGGGTAATTCTAGCGGGTTGTGTTCATATTCTTTTACCAGAACCATTCATCATACCAGTTGATTTTTGGTCCACAAGATACTTGATTTTGCGCATTGCATTATCGGTCAATGCAATAACTGTGAAAGTTGAGTTTTCAGACACTCTTGGAGATTTCAAGGTGTGAGTACATGTATTGAACTTTGACTAAACTCATCGATGTCGCCGTGTTGGAGTTGATTAGTCCCATTCTCTCCTCTTACTTACTGATAATAAATTTTTACTTAAGTGAATCATATAAGAGACCAATGATCTTAGAATTCCACTCGTTTGATGATGTTAAATTGGCTTTAGAACCACCTCTATACATTTGTTTCTATATCAAATATAATATGAACGTTAAATAAATTTCTGTCATTATCTAAACGAATGATTCTAGCATGATATTGCTAACATTAGATAATAGGTTTTCAAAGAACTTTATGCACAATATGGACCTACTTGCAACTTACCGTCCTTTAGTATATAATCGTGACGTAAAGTTTACATCCATCTAAGTGAAAAAATTTTAAAAGAAAAGTCCATCAACCTTCATGGATAATGATTATACACCCGCAAAAGAAGATAAAGCTCAACTAAGCCATGAACCAGGAGAATCTTATATGTATACATATAATGAATGTGTTGGCATTATCTTTGTAACCATTGTAACGGTAATAGATAATAATTTTTGTTTTATCAAGTACAAGACATGAAATGAAAGCTGGCACAGAGCTATATTATAGCGAATACATTTATTTCATATGCGCGTCCCTTCAAATACGACTATTGGAAACGATTGGAGTATTTTGAGTGTGTTTTATTCTCAGAATGCTCCAACACATTTTGTCATGTCGGGTTTTTTTTTTTAGTCCTTAGTCTTAAAACATTGCGTTTCTGCTTCGATGCTTCACTTGACATTTGCATATTTCTTTCTTTCAGACTTCATAGTCGACTCTTCAACAACAACAACGTAGGAAGCATGCTGATACATTTTTCTTTTCTATGTTCCCCACCTTCGCGATCCAGCATCCGCATCATAGACTAGCATTTTATAAAAATTTATAGATTTTCAACCTCAATGCAGCTTAGTGGCCAAGTGTTCTCGTTCAGACGTGAAACAGATTTCATGAAATCAGGCAGACAGTGACTTGCTAGCTCTCGTCCAGACTCAACGAAAGAAACACCATATTGCCAACATTGCGTTGCAAACGTCTAGAATTTTTTGAATAAGTACTACATTTGCAAGCCGGTTATTACATGAGCTAGAAATCGTTTCTGTCAGTCTATTAAGTTCCATTCAAAGGTTCAACTTCGGAACTTGATCATGAAGGTAAAAGCACCTCAGACTGTAGTCAGTATAATCAGAGACTGACAGCTTACATTCAATAGTGATATTTAATTTGACATGCACATGACGATCAGGTCGGCGTCATGCCGGCAGATCAATACTCCAGATATTTTCCAAGATCCTTTCATTACCGACATTTTGTTCAGAAAAAACTGCCCAGAGCTAATTTTGATCACATAGTAAGTACATGTAAGCTAATTTGTCTCAGCACCTTCTTGTCCAGCTGCAAGTGTTGATCTAGGTGTAGCAGATGGAACTGTGTTAACTTTGCTGTGATAGGTTTTTCCATCTTTTTCAATTGGCACATATATCGTCTGCATGTGAATATCACTTCCTGCAGCAACGCTCCCTTTCGTAGGTGCTTCTCCAATTCCTGGAGGACGAGGTGTTGCATTCCGATAGAAGGCATGCAGTAACAGTTGCGCTACTCCCGAAAGCATTCCTAGGCCGTTAGGAATCTGCGGGTCCAAATTATAGGCTGATCATAATACGCCTGACAAAAGAAAATTTGATCAAATGAACAGATAGATGAGCTTCTGCCAAACCTGAAGCAAGAATTTTGTGGAAACAGTTGGGACTTGTTTACTTTGACTTACCATAATGAATATGTCTTTGGCCATAATCCCATAGCCTGTCCACACGGTACTGTTGAGAAATACACAAACGGATAGAAGCAACGGCATAAACTCCACACTTCGTGTCTTTATCACCAGCCTCTGAGTTCACACCCATCCACCGTCAGAAATCATCATCATGAGGAACAATAAAATTGTAGGTAGGATCCATAATATAAGAATATTTGATCTGATAAAAAAAATTCGTGTCGCCCTGTATGACAGTGGAAATCGTGAGTTTGTAGGACAGAATTAGTGTGTTAGTTGTAGTATATGATGTTTATATCATCTTCAATTACGTTATGAAACATCTCCACCCCTCCAAATTCTCACATTACACATTGGTATTCATACTAGTTTTGCCCAGGGTTTAGTTCGAAATCTCGAATTGACTTACTTAGGTTAGTACGATAGGAAAATGAAGAAGTTCAGGTGCTAATTCCCAGAGGTCCGAAGCTTCCTTACCATGACAGAAAGAGGAGAAACATACATTGCTACAGCAACCACTACGCAAAGTGATCCGACTTCCAGCTTTCGCGTTTTTCGAGGGATAACAGTGAGGGTAAGTGCTACAACAACTGCGAATGCTGCACAGCAAGCAGATAATAGTTTTGTCACCTTTTTCTGCACATTAACGCACACCTCACATAGTAAGTATTCGAATCCTGAAATTTACTAATTGAAAAGATTGCTACCTATAAGAGTTAATTATTTTTCCAGCTACGCCTAATGACGGTGATGTTGAAGGTTGCAACTTTACAACTCCAGTACTAGTGAATGAAGATGTGATTATTTCCCTTGTTTAAGAGATGAGTGAGAAAACAATACAACATAGCTTCTGGTAGAAACTGTATACCAAACCCTATCCAAAGATAACCTACGTCCAAAGGTCGCTGCTACACTTTGTGTCGTAATGTACACTTAGCGAATGTTCTGTAAAGAATGAAATAGTCCGATTTTTGGACGTAAAATAGTTTTCAATATATTTCGTTCGACATCAACCGCGTATACTTTGCTTCTCTTTAGATTGAACTAGAAAACTCCTGTCCGATGTTTCACATTGCTTACTGGCCGGTAAATTTGCAGTATGTCTTCCTTCTACAATCTACCAGTACGTAGGCTGTAGAATAATAGAATACTAACGAATGAAACAAATCAGTTCTGAATTATCACTAAGAACACATTGCGTCAGGTTGCATGTGGAATTTTAGGCTAGATAGCCGAACTCTTTTATTGCTCTAGATTCCTTGGAATGTAGATTTCTTTTCCGAAGCCTCGTCTAGCTTAATAGAAGTGAAGTTAAGGTTTTCATGCGTTATTAGCAATGTCAACATCAACAGACGTCAAAACACTGATTTTCAGACAGTTCATGCTGGACTAGTCCCTGAAAAGTCTTGTCACGACAAAACTGACTATATGAAGGATCTCCCACATTTCTTTCCCATCATTGCGGTCTCAGACTTTCTAAGTATGTTCAAGAGAATCAATGAGAAAGTAATTATAAATATCTCGCTTAGAGTAAGGACTGTTCTGCTTTCCTTAATCAATCATCAACAGAGTATAAAGGACGAAATTTCAATTTACCCGTTCCAGCTTGGGAGAGTAAACCAGGAAAAGGACGAGATAGAAGATCTCGAAGGCGCAACCTGCAGTGTTAATAGTAAGCACTAACAAGGCGTTCTCCGAAACTAATGGCAATCCATACAAGACCCAGAGCAGGCAGTTCATGAGCGTGCAGACGTATGGAATCCCAGAAAAGTCTTGAGTAGACTTGTTTTTGTAGATGTTCCAAAACGTGGGCCTGCAGAAGTATTGAGACAATCAATCACTTCGAAATGAAAAGTTTGTGAATGATGTTTGATGTATGATCTCTACAGACTACCAAACAGAACAGCACATACTCTGGGCAGCTCCATTGTTATTGAAGTGATGCTTCAGCAGAGTTCAAGGATTCTGACATAAACTTACAGAGGTGATGCAAAGAGAGCGACTGCAATCGCGTTCCCTGAAAATATTTGCAATGTGAAGCAAATTTCAGTACGCTATTCTTCCAGTTCAGTCCACTGTTTTTTGAAGATCCAGGACCGTGAAAACTACATTTGGATAGCGTTTACTAAGAAGATTTTACAAAATGACAAACAAGGGTGGAAGAACTCCTATCCTTTCAGGATGTAAATCCAAACTTTCTTATTTTTCCGACTATCGTGATATCCTAAGGCTAATGAAATCTGAAAAGTAGCTTCAATCTGATTCTACAAATACAAGCTTCCGTATTCCATTCTATCACTTAAGTTTCCGCTCGGGACTCTCAGACACTTGTATTCACCTGGTTTATAAATATCTCACAGTGAAATGGATTCAATGACACATTTTCTTTGTCTATACCCTCGATACTTCTGACTGGAAACTTGCAGACTAGAGATATTGAATTTTATGTGAATCCTAGTTTTTCTGGACAATGTGAGGCAAGAATCTTCTGAAGAGCAGCTTTCTATCATCTTTTATAGTAGCTTGATATGAAAACTTACCAATTATACCCAGGATCAGCTTGTAATCCATTGCTTACAGATTGCTGCCACCAACACAGGACTGACTAGTTATCAGGTCAGATGATCAGATTCTGCTTGACAAGTTGAGTTCAGGAGCGCTCTCGTTGGGCAAACAGAAAACGTCTTCAGGTTTTGCCAGTACTGTCAACCAATGAACATTCTCAAATTTAACTACCACCCTACTCTGTTTACAAATTATAAAACATATATCTAAACCTATCTGTAGGGTCTCAAACTTCCGAAATGCTCACAGGCCTGAATGTTGAGTTTTCTCAGATTTTGTTAGCGAAAGACTGCACTTCACCAGGCTTGATTTGCAGAATCGATCAGTATGCTATGGCACTCCCTAGAACTTTCACCTATTTTATAGGTTCCAGAATCTTGAAAAAAATTACTCACAGTTTCAGAAGTATGTTGGAATCACAAGATTTGACATGGTACTTTTGGTGGCTAGAGTCGGGCCCAGCTTTTGCTCTGCAGCTATTGGAGAGCAAGATGAAGAGGCAAATGATTCGATCATGACGAATATACGTATACGGCATGATCTTTTGGAAAGCCAGAAATATTGGTTGTTGTCTCCTGTCGGCTTCCTGTAGGTACTGTCCTCTCTGTTTCTTCGAGATGACAACTTAGTAGAATGATAGGCCCTTGTGAATGTGTTCCAAACCCGATGAGTGAAAGCAGGAAATCAAAGCTGTGTCAGCTATCAGTTTCCTTTTCTAGAAAATGTTTATAGACTCATTGACATGAGAGCTGGATGCCTAAGACCTCAGGATCTCATGTTGTCGAATAGCGACTTCGCTCTTCGAGACTTCTCATTACGATGACTACGAAAGAAACTGTTTGAGATCGTACAACAGCTTGAAAGAGAATTGGTTCCAAGTTTAAAGCTTTTGTACGATTGCATACAACCTCTTGAGAAGAAGTTCATAGCTCGTGTAGAGAGAGAGAGAGAGAGAGAGGAGAGAGAGAGAGGAGGAGAGATATCGGGAGAGTGAAAAGGGTACGAAGGTACTTCAACCGATAATTGAGCTGATCAGTTGGAAATGAGCATTGTGGTGATTACCAAATGTTGTAACAATGGTTTTTTAAGGGATGTATACATTACAATATGCTATAAAAATCTATTATGGAACTCATAACTTGTGTCATGGGAGAGACATAATAGATCTGCAGACCAGACAGTCAGTCCTCTAAAATCTAATTATAACTCTATTAGCAATGTGCTTAGTATACTAATTTCGTTTCAAGAAACTTTATGAGTATCTAAAACCTGATTATATCAAACATGCTCTGTTAAAATGCCCACCTACTGCACACTTGAGACTTAGATTTTCGAAGTTTATCATCTTTTTTTCAAGTAACGTGACTTGATACTTCCAACATTCGGTACGTTCAGAAAAATTACCTTCTTTTACTAAAATATGCTTATTACAAATACATGTTAGTTCTTTAGAAACTTCCTGTCAAACAGTTGTTGTCCTCCGGAATTTGAGAACTAAAATATCCTATGATAAATGTTTTAATTTTTCTTATGAAGTGCCTTCAACGTGCTAACGAGTTTTTAACAGATAATAATCAGATCTCAGGATCCTTGTTTGGTTCAAGTATAACTTGAATGCATGCTTATCAACATACGTGATACCATCAATGCCAGATTCCAAATTTTTTCATTCATAACACACTATTTATCCATTGTGACCAGAAATTAACTGTAGTTCCTTGTGACGTCGATGGTAGCACACCGATATCATCGTTCCAGAGGGCTGGTTTTGAGAATGTTCTAAGGTGCTGCATCGCGGCTCTCTCATCTGTTATAATTCACGAGTCTCGCATCTTTTCCAAAAGGTAGACTCTGTCCCGATGCTTGATAAATTTATGCTTAATTAAGGAACTGTTAACAGCTCTTGAGAACAGGCGAGAGTAGGTTATATTTACAGGTCACGTGTTAGTTCAGGTTAAGAGTTTCTAGTGGAAACGAAAGTGTCTGCATAGGATTGTACATATAGTTAGACGCAGTTGTGTGGATCTACTGAAATCAGCATTGCCAGTCATATCAGCCGATGTATTTTGCTCAATTAGTCATGGAGACATTCATCACGAACATATGAGGAATCATTCTGAGTGGTGTCAGAAAGACAGACATAGGCTGGAGAATTTGAACAGTTTCTTATTGTCCTCCAGAAAAAAATCCACAAGAAAGTAGACAAATTCATAGCTAAAGTTCGGGGCCGGGAGTACAGTAGTTTCTTGAGTAGACTTCCATAACACGAAGTGTAAGTAGCAAAGTACAAGATGATGCTTCCATTCGACTTCTTATGAGAAACCAATCGAACTCTAGATTGAACGATAAATCTTCTGGCTCCAGAAAGCACTGCTTTCAAAGCAGTGCATAGACATGTCACCTAAAAGTTTTGTACAGACAAGAGCCGACAACCTTACTGTGACGGGAGATGTATTTATGAACGAGAGGGTGCGGTCGAAGATGAATCCCTGATGCTTATCTACGAGCTAGTACCACCTGGAGGTGGTACTAGATGGTAGGCAAGCATGTAGAGCATGGGTCTCATTGCTCATTGCATTTTGTATTCATCCTTGGCTTAGTAGATGTTTTCTATGTTTCTCAGCAGAGAGGAAACTCTTACGAGCACTGATAACCCTGGCATTACCTCCTAGTGGAAGCCACCCTGTGGCTTCCACTACAGGGTTCTGATTGTGTCATGTTTGAGAGTCTTACTTTCACAGTGTTTCCAGCCTATATTTGACCACGGGTCTCGATGGTTTCAAAGTACTATGCTGACAAGCAAGCTAGTATGGCCCCGTCACCAGCCAATGATACATGACAAAGTTAATTTGATTTCTATTCCTCCGCACATCCGTTACTAATGTGTAATATCAGGTGAATGGAGTATCAACTTTGGCATCTCCATCATCATACACACTTCATATATATCACCTGAGCCTGCTGTGACTGACCTCATGTTTCAGGTATGTTTGATGACGTATCTCGTCAGTTTCATAACTGCCAACATGTACTTGTAGAACTTTTGGATATATTTATGGTATATCTTAAGCGAGATTCAGAAGGTATCATACTACATAACAAGCATATCTTTCATGCTTGTCTAAAATATGAGAAAGTTGTTCGAGGAACAACAGTAACGCTTACTTTCTTTCTCAATACTGGTATGCTTTCAGATCATCTATCGAGATCAATACCATCAGTTACGAGAGCTGAATTCATAAAGCGTGAACTTTTTGTGCTCGTGTATACATCAAATTCACCGCCTGTTCAAATCTGTTTCCCCGTGGTAAACTTTTCGTATCGAATAGTATTTAACCTTCATTAGACATGACTTAGTCTAATCAGCTATTATATGTCCATCACATTGGCCTTTTGTCTTTCGACCGTGCAACATATATGCTAGTACTGGACTCGTGATAATGGTACTTTCCTCAATCTTTAACCCCATCATCCTAATCTGGCCCCGATTTTCAGGCATCATTTATTTACGAAAGGACGATGGAGAAAAGAGGGAAGGAGAAGGGATTTTTTCCTCGTCCGAAAGTCTTGACAGATTACACACTTATCTCTACACAGAATATGCACAGATTCCACTTTCTTGACAAGTACGTCTTCATGATCATAACACTTATCTTCTCAAATCCTTGATCAGCACATAATCTTGAATCGCTTGTAATCACAAATCTAACGCACCGAAGTATTAGTTAGCCACTTTCTAACGCACTCTTAACGGATATCCACGTGCGAGGAGATTCGCCAATTCGGCTTGTCTACTCCAGGACCTCTTAGGTGAAGTTCATTTGTTAGAGGAGACAGGTTCAGTGATGTTCCTTTATAATTTTCGTCCTTTCTACTCTTGTTACCTCGGCATTATCACAATTTTTTCCCTGGTAGAAGCAAATGGAGAAGTCTATAATTGATGCAATAATGATGAGCCAAACACGCCGACTTGGCAAAAATTTTTACATATGAATTGTTCTTAATAAGAATTCCTAAAATGAGCGTAAAACTTGTCCATTCGTGCTTGCTTAAGAACTTCAGATGATATCTTCTGAGTTTAGTTCCTCAGTACACATTGATGAGTACTTTTTATTGTTGTTATTGCTGTTGACCGTTATCTAACGAAGGAAAAATGTGCTTCAGATATTGTGTCTTAGAATAGGATCTGTCCTTCGAACATATGGAACAAAATAAATGTGATCTCCTGAAAGTGTGCAGAATATGAATACTAGATTTCCCTGGTTATGTTCATACTAAAATAAGTCCTAAGGATGAAAATAGAGCTGAGCTTGGAGCATCAGTTACAGGTCTTGAAGCAGGGTGAAGATTTTGTGAATGTGGCGACTGCAAACTTTGGCTCAAAAGCAGAAAGTGGTAAAGGTTCTCCACCTGACCGAACGAAGTCCGTAGTAGTTGTATGCACATGGCAAAAGACGAATGATCACTGACGTAACTAACAACAAAGAGAAAGGTGGAGGATCTAATGGCTGGTGGCCATTGGCCACCATCGGATCTCAATCTCGCCACAGCCTCGGCCCATCCGCGAGGTTCTTCCAATCTTGTTAGTTGGTAGATACACAGCCCAGCAGCAGCAGCCGCCGCCGCTCGTGCTTGCCTTCCACTCGCCTTGACTTCCATTCCATCCACTCATCTCCTTGGCTCTCCAATCCAATCAACTAGTCACGTTTCGTCCTAGTTGATAATGCTGAGAGATAGTGACAATGTACGTAAATATTTTCTGGTACGTAAAATTTGATCAGGAACGGTTAAGGTAAATCTATCATGAACGGTTCTCTGTTAGAACTAAAGAGGAAAATGTATAGCAATTGGTGAAGGAAGTGCAACGAAGGGAGGAATGGCGGGCGGGGAAAATCTGATAGTTTGTTTTAAGGGCAGGGAAGGGGGGTAGTTGTAGGGACTGTTGCATGGACTGCGAGAGGAATCCCGCCCCCTCCTACCGGCCACCACCATCAACTCGTGGACTTTGTGCAATGGCTCCGATTGAGATCGACATGGGAGAGATCCGGATGCTGATGGTGGTGGTTGTTCTTGTTGTTGTGATTGGCTACCCTTGTACCTCAATCCGATCGAGCCACTGTGATTTTATCATCGTAATTGAGCTCAGATGTAAACACTCAAGCACAAAATCTGCTTGTACTCGACTTCTGTCATACCTTTGACCAAATTTGCTGTATCTACATTGCATGTTATGTTCTTTCAATTGGTTTGGTAGGTTTGGACATACGAATGCATCCATTCCTCTCCCGCATCTGCAGTCCAGTAGCTGCAAAACTTTTCTTAAGATTCATAGAGGAATCACTTACAGCCACAGCCGCCGTGCCGTTAATTGACATGAATGGAAACGTTGAGATGCTGAGATGTTGAAGGATTGAAGGATTGAAGGATCAGGGCACTGAGGAGACAAAGGGCCATTGAGTTTCCATCCATTGCGTCCGCTGAGCTGTTCAACTTTCTCACGTGCGAAACAAGAATGGATTTCTTCTAACTGGAGACCTTATTTCCGACGCAGTACTCCCTATGCTCGTAGAATAACCTAAGAAATACGGTGCAGAAACGATGATTTAGCTAGGAAAGTTCCGATGTTCTATTGTATTGAGATAGATAGTCCACTTGCTCCAGTTATCACATAATTGTTGTCAAGAAATTTCTAAATACGCGACTTGACTCCCAATACGTAATGGATCCATAGTCAGGCATCCCATGACTGGATACGACGTTGTCGGTAAGTGAGGAGCACCTTCTCCCTCCATGCCGTGACTAACTCTGGCTGACGATTCTCTCACATCTACCACCATCGAGGACCACCAGCAGCAATAGCACTGCCTGCACGGAACTCAGTTACAGCAGTTCGTAAGTGATGTTTACGACTGCGATATGGTGATGATGAAAACACAAGAACAGGAATAAATAGAGAGAGAGAGAGAGAGAGAGAGATTTCTTTTTAGGTACCGTTCATGTCTAGAGTGGTGACGGAGCAATGGATACACGTACTGGGTATCACAAAATCCAGTGATAAGTGTCAATCAAAGAGACTGAAAGTTGAATGTTATAAAAGATTTCATTTACAGAGAGGGAGAAAGTGAGAGAACGGCCATTTCCATCTACGATATCATTGAGAACAAAAAGGTGAGGTTTTAACATCCTAGAGCCGGGTAGTACTCGTCGTCATGCCATCCGTCATGTATTTGACTCACTGCAGATCAGTTTCAAAGTGTGTACAACTTTGGCATGATGAACAATAATACGTGAGAATGTACTAGAGCCTGATCAAGGGGAAGAAATTCTTCAATGTTATCATGATTTTCAGCTTCAGCAAAAGGATCCTCTGTTGTCTTGTATATGGTTTAAAATATGTGATCAATTAACGTTTTCATCCATTATCGTAGAGTAACACATGCATGAGAATATTGAGGTATAATGTTGATTTTAGGATTATCAATTTTAAATATTTATGACTTAGTTTAGTTACTTAGTCTTTGCTTGGAAAAATATAAGTAGTGACTGCCAGAAATTATGGGTAAGGATAATTATTTTGTCTTTTGATGGGTGAGAATCATATTTTTAATATTTCTAATATGTCAAATAACATATAATTATATTTTTAATATGTATATAATTAATTCTTAAAGCATATATTTTACTAAACCAAACATTTTTTTGAAAAAAAAAATTTAATTATGATGAAATTTTGTATAAGAAAATTTAAATTTATAAAAAAAATTATTATTTTATTTTATAAAAGATTTGGTGAAAGTAAAAATTTATACATAAATAAAAATATGAATGTATTTTCTATTCAAGTTGAATCAACTGCGATAAGAGATAAAATGTTGTTGAAAAAAACCTTTGATTACCTATTATAGACTTATTACTTATTTCTCAACTCATTGAGGTTGTAATGCAACCAAATACTAAACAAAAGTAAGAGTAAGAGAAAAAGTTAACTAATTTTAACATAAAAGGTAGTAGTAAAAACTCACCGAATTATTATGTATTTGAAATGTATTTATTTGGTATTAATTTAATTCTACATGTTGGATTTATATATATAAATGTAGTCCATGATTATAATAGACGCGGCGTGTGTGACCTTGGAAGTCCTATATAAAAACTCATCATATATTTGGTTTAATGCAAAATAAAATTGCCACTGAAATTATGTAACATCATCAGAATCTATGGAATTGAGAAAGAATCAAAAAAAAAATTTAATTTTTTAATTATAATTCAATGTATTCAAATAAATAAAAATTTATTTGAAATATATAGTAAAAAAAATTTGAATTTTTTTAAAAAAATTTTATTTAAATAAAAAAAATTTTACACTAAAATGAAATATTAAAAAAATTAAAATTTTAGTTAAAAGAATTATTAATATTAATAAAAATAAATAAATAAAATTATTCAAAAAAACATTTTTTTTCTAAATGACATGTTTTGGAAATAAATCAAATTTTTAAAAATTTAATGATGAATTTTGCATTAAATTTTTTTAAATAATATCAATAGTCTTATTCTGATGATCAAAATCACATGTTGGAAGTTTTCTTGCAAGTGATTTCTTCAAGATTTTTACTTCATATAAATGAATATTTTGCATGGAGCTCTATTTTTCTATCACAAAATTCTTACAATGTAAGAATTTTGTGATTCTAATCTTGTGATACTAAATTTATTCTAAAATATTTGCTATGATGACTTTTTTTAAGGTTTATCCTATGTTGTGCATCCAGAAAATTAATAAACCAGACAAAAATTTTACATAATATGTTTTACTATCTATACATGGTAAGTCTAGCAATAATGAATCTCATATTCTATTCATCAGTGTATTCATGCCATCGATACCTGTGCACATCAAATCAAAATTTCTTGAAATCAAAGACAATTTTTTAAAAAGATTCAAAATTTATTTTAAAACTTATCAAGTACATCAAAAATTTATCCCAAAAATCAATGAAAAGAAAAAAAAATGAAATTAATATGATATGGCCTAAAATAAGAGAACACAGAATAATATTACAAAATTTTGAATTAATTTAAATCTGATAAAAATTCAAAGCATTTATGTAAAAGTTGAAAAATTCTAGTCAACACAATAAAAAAATTTCTGCAATAGAGTCAAATTTTTTAGAAATATAAGACAAATTTTTAAAACTAAAGACTATATTAATTGGATTATGATCTAAATTTCTTCAATTCAAATATTTTTCAATATGAAATTTCCAATTAATAATCTAAAATCAATATTCCTTTTTTTTCATCTTTGATGTATAAATACATTATTCTAATATTAAAATAATAAAATTCTTTTATTTTTATTTTCAAATTTTCCAAATTAAATAAGAAATTGCTTTAAAATAAATAAATGAATCAATGAAATAAATTCAAAAGTAATAAAAGTATGTTATATTTTATCATCACATCATAATTTATTAGTAAATATCAAATTTTTTTCAAACAATCTTTACATTTACAAAAAAATGTATACTCAAAACACACAAAAGAGACAGTAAACACTTGACACAATATATAATGTGGTTCACCCCTTTGAAATGGTTATGTCCACCAAGAACACGCTTCCTTTTATTTCAAGTTTCTCACAGAAGACTTACTGCATGTTCATGTTTAGGCAACAATCTTAGTCGAGGCGACCGTTTCAGCTAAATATAGCTAGGGCTTGAAGTTAGTCATTAACTAGCGTTAACCTCAACAATCTCCCCCTAAACTCATGTTAAGAAAATAGTAACCTCTGTAACCTACATTATTAATCCGCGAAAAGTTCTAGACAGAAATCTAACGCAATGTATTCTCTTTACATGAGAGTTAACTATAACTAAGCCGTAGCTATAACAGTATAGAGTAATAACGTAAAGAGTTAACTAACAATCTGCTAGCATAGAGGGAACATAAACCTCGTAACTTATACAACTACTCTGCGGGAGATTCTCTAATTCTATAATTCTCGCCCGTCAATCGCAGTTATCCAGCCTACTACAGTTCGGCCGATCAACTGTGATTGGTCCGCCTACCACGAGTACTCCACCGACTGCAGTTCGCAAGATCAATCACTTTTGTTTTGCCTACCATGGTTATTCCGCCTATTGCGGTTGACCGCCTACCACGATTGGAGAGGAATGGTGACCACCGCTGTAAATGCACTCGGCCCCGTAGTTAGTCTCGCCTTGCTCTCGCCACTTGGCGCTTGGCCCACAACTTACATATTGTTTGATCTAGTTGCCAACTAGATGTCGTGCGTCGCACCAATCATCCGTCCCAATGCCACACCGATCGCGTCGCAGTCGTCTCAGCGTGGACAGATAGACGATCACGCCGCACCGTACGCAATTGCGTTGCGGCATCGTGGGGTTGATCGTCCACACCTCGCACTTGATTCAATGGCCTCGATCGCGTCTTGCACTTCCTCTCGCCACTTGCTTGCGCTTTGAATGCATGAAGTTTTGAGCCGAAGACTTCCAAGTAACGATCGATGTTCAACCTGAATTCTTTGTTAGAAAAAACATCAACTTTGTAATTTCGTGAGCATGGAAAAGGAAAATTGACCATTTGTTCACGTTATCTGAATTATGTCTGCAGATCTTGCCATGAGCTCATAGATTCTCACATCAGGAATTTAGAACTTGCATTCACATTGAAAGCCTCAAGCATCCGTCACCTTGACTACCACATCCTAGAGTGAATTCGTCATTCAAGGACAAACTTACTTCTAAGAACGAAGCCACCCACACAGTGCTATTGTTCAGAGCGAGACTATTATCAACTAGTGTCCGACAATGTTTGATGCCACTGTCACATCCTATTCTCACAATCTTCTTAGTCTCCGGGTAGTGTCTTGTCTCTCGCAAATTCTGAATTGAATTCCAAAGTAAAGTCTATTCGTTGAGTACGGAAGTCAAGGAACATGATCTGGATTTCTTAAGAACGAAGGATCTAACGCTCGCTCGATGCCAACGGCATAAACTCAGATTTGCAACACATAAACTCCACACACTTCTTCTTGATATAAACCAGACGCGCACCGAGTTTATGGAGGAGCTGACATTTTCGTCTATACTTTCCTTTCAACAAGCTAATAGGGAGCATTCCACTTGAATTTGCTAAGCTCTCTCTGCTGCAAGAACTTTGTCTGTATGACAACCAGCTCACCGGAACTATCCCTTTTGATCTCGGACTTCACAACAACCTCACTCATGTCATTCTTTGCATCAACATATTGACTAGAATCATTCCAGCCGAGCTTTGTTCGTTTGGCAAGATCCGGATTCTAGATTTTTTGAGCAATCGGAGTGTGAATGCAGCGATACTACATAGTGCTTGGTATTTTCCTTGTCCATCATTGCGTGTGATTTTTGAGTATCCTTAGAAATCATTTCCATGGACTTATTCTCCCTGTTGAAAATTTTGACGATCTAGTCACTCTAGTCGTGCACTGCAACTCATCATTAGATACTCCATCTGGAAGATGAATCTTTTGGCTTCCTCACATAATAAAACTCCGCAACTTAATGTTCTGAAGTAAGAACAATCACCTTGATTCCAAAAATCGTCACTGAAAACTTTGTCTCACACAACTGTCACTTGCAAAAATGACCTATCACAAACTCCGAACCGAAACTCGGCTCCAATATCAATTGTATACTCAAAACACACGCAAGTGATAGTAAACACTTGACACAAGATATCATGTGGTTCAACTCTTTGGGGTTAAGTCCACCAAGAACCCGCTTCACTTTACTTCAAGTTTCTCACACAAGATTTACTGCATGCACATGCAAAAATCAAGGCCACCTTCTTAGCTCAATATAGCTAGGACTTGAGGTTACTCTTTTATTGAAGTTAATCTCAACAGAAAATAATTAAATTGCAATGAGATTAGAATCAAATTTTCTTTTGATTTAAATTTTAATTTTCAATATCACTAAAAGAATCTTAACATTTCTAAGTTATGTGAATATTTTTAAAATAAATTCAGAAATTTTAACACTTCAATCAATTATCATTGGAAAAAAAAATTGAAATTTTTTTTCGCTTTAAACCAATTTTTGTGACAACTTTTAAATTATATATTTTTTGAAAAATTATTTAGAAATAAATAAATTACATTCAAAATATTATTAATAGTATTAAAAATATACATCAAATCGTGTGAAAGTCTTTAAAAAAATAATTTCTAGCAAACATTTGACTTATTTTTATAATATAATCATTTTTCAACAGGAAGCTGAAACTTATTTTATATGAAACAAATTTTGTCTTGTAATTTTTTCTTCTTATAAATGAGAATAAATCTTTATAAAATGAAACCAAATTGATGCATAGATCATCAAATTTTGTAATAAGATACTTTAAATGTATGTGAGTAGATGTTAGATATTTTTTTGAAATCATATCAATATAATTAAGCAATTTTTTAAATTTCTTTCTTGTCATCAGCTTCTCTGTTACTTCACTTTGGATCTGTTTTCCCATATTTTCAAGTAACTGCAGTAACTTCTTCACTCTTTCAATGAGCTCATAGGGGTCCACAAAACCCTGAGAGACAACTTGACAGAGGATTTTGTGGACCCAGCAAGATAAGGTACAATAACTTTTACTCAAGGTAAAAGGTAAAAGTTAGGGGTAAAGGTGAGAAGATAACCAATGGGTAACGTAGAAGGTAGAGTAAAGGTAATGTCGGTTTACCTTTATATATTTATGTGATGAGTACAGCAAAATCATCAAAAAATTAAACATCTTCATAAAAAAACTCGACTAAGTCACAAGCTTTGATAAAATGTATATAAATGATATTTTCAGTGTTGTATTTTATAAATATACATATATATTTCTTATTTTGATTTAACATGTAATCATTTTATGAAATCATGGTTTTTAAATTTCTCAAAATTATTTGATTAATAATATAGTGCATGAGATTATGAAATTTTTCGAAGAAAATTGTCATTATAATTTTAATCTTTATACATTAGAAATAAATTGATACTCATTATTCGGATTATCAAGGTAAATTTTAGGTATGTACAATTAAATTTTCCGTACATGATTTGACAAATCCGAATTCATTATAGTGGGTGAAAGCATATTATGATTTACGGATTTTAAAAATTAAACCATCAGAAATTTTCAATAACAAGGAAAAAATTTACTTTTTCACTTGTTTAAGTTGAAAAATACAACATTCATGCTCACGCTGCATTAAAAAAACACTTATTTCTTTTGAAGTCTTTTTAGAAAATTAACTTTTCATCATAATTGTAACTTTGATGCATGAGCATGTAAATTATTAGTATATTATATTCGAATTAAGTTTTATTAGTCTTCGTACTCTAATGGTATTCAAATTATACACAACAAGGGGACACATCAAGAAATGCATATAGCTATAATGACTACATTAAGTCTTGGATCAGACTAAATCTACTGTAAGTAAAGGGCAAAATCATATAGATTTTCAGTGCAATCATCATACCTAAAGCTTGCTAGTGTTTACGGTATCCCAACTACATTATACCCAATAAGAAACTCCTCACATACAGCACCGAATATCTACTTTTATTTCTATGCAGAAGTCTGGACATCTTCTATTTAAAACTACATATGAGGACGAAAGTGTCTATATAATGCAAAGAATATTAATAACTCATTTGGGGTCGTTGTTGCCTGGAAAGAGTAGGTGACAAGTGAGATTCCATACCCAGGCCCTAGTTAACACCAGAATTACTCATACCCAACTTCCTCTTTAGTCTCAAGAGCTAACTTCTCTCACAACTATAGCTAAAGCAAAGAAAAGAACGTTTGATGTGTTTCGACATGTTCAAATAATACTAGAAATATTGATTTGACTACCAACTGTATAGCCTGATGAAAAGTTTGACCTTCCCTAACAGTAATTCCTGAATGTGTCCAATCACATTGTCAGCAACACGATAACTGTCTGCTAGAAACTATTCGAGTCAAAACTATGTCAATGAAGAGAACTATGTCAAATCCATCTCGAATAGCGATGCCAGGTTGGCAAGATGGATCTTGGGCTTTCCACAGTCCAGTTGCGAACGATTGCGAAGGACACGAGGGTAGGCTTCTCGCCATCCTCTCTGAAAGATCAACGGTAGATAGGAACCGACAGTCTCACGAGGTTCACACCCAACTCACGTACCACATTCATCGGCGAACAACTCGGAGCCCTCGGGACCTTCTTCAACCCCAGGATGTGATGCTTAGACATCGACGTATCATGATACTATCCGAGCCTAGCCCCTGATTTCATGTCTATCTTTTTCTGTATAGGGCTCGATGGGTCTTCCCATCGATTTTATATTCGTAAATCCGTTTCAATTTGTCGCATGTTACCCTCTATACATGGAGTTTTCAGTAACTAGAAGATTTTAACTATCATCTTCCTTTACTTCAGTGGAAGATTTTGCAGTAGTCTAAACCATAACTCACGAGGAGGATAATCATGTTTGTCCACTTTGTATGTGAAAACCTCAAGTTACTGCACTTACAGATGTGTAACTGCTAGGGGCTGGCAATGAAACTTAACCGTTTTCGCAGGTTTCGCTGATTTTCTTTGCAAGGAGGAAGATCTGCAAAAATGACGTGTACAACTTGGAATATGAGCTTCTAATCTCCCAAAATCTGCGGTTTATAGAGGATTCAGGTATTTCTTCACTCCAGGTTTCTGTTTGACATGTATTTAGCAATAGATATGGCCACAAGCACTGGTAGAATGAACTATCCCATACACGGTTCGAATTGAAGACTGTAGGTTTCCTACATTTATCATTAATATAATAATTATATTATATTATATTATAATTAAACATTTCCTACAGTCGAACTCCTCGTACACTTCTGCAAATGATACTTCAACATACTTGGGTCAGTATGTGACTTCGTTACTTTAGCATTCCGGTGTGTTGGTCTCATGGAAAAGACGTGGACAAGCATGTAATCATTTCAAATGTTGAGTTGAACAAGTCTTTTAAAAAAAAAAATTCATATCTTTATATTTCAAGTTTATATCATTATGAGGTAACTATCGAGCTCATGGATCGGATTCTCTATCCTGCAAGTATGAAGCACGGAAATAAAGTAGTCAACATTTCTTCAAATGTAGACTACATCACCTACAATTTATGTAGACCCGCTCAAGAGGTCACACATACCCAAGCACAAGTCACGAGCAATACACTCTTCTGAGTGTTGATTGAATATATGTAGTTGTGCAAGTATTGAATATTTACTCAAAGCTAATCCAATCGACCCATGAGCTCGATTTGTCATTACCTTTTTTTATTCTTGAATCGTAATAATAAAGCAGCTCATACTATCCAATCAACAGCGCCTGAATTAAACTGTACGAGGTTTGTGATTCCGATGTGGTTCGATGACCGCATACGACACAAGTGAGGCAGAGGTAAAGAGACGCAGAGGAAAACAACCCCACCAAATTTTACGTGGAAACGGGAGCGAGGCAGTGAGTGTGATGAGTACACGCCCCTCAAGTTTTCACCACTGGTTTGTCCGTACCACCCATTTGCACACAAATTGGCGTGACTATTTTCACTGAAAGCAGTAGATTGTTTGTGTGACGAGGAAAGTTCATACAGCGAACTTTTATGCATGAAAACATGTACAGTGACACCAAAGACGATCGTACACTTTTGAAACAGTCATTGGCCGTGGGTTGTCATAACCACAGGCATCTCTGCTTGGACATTTTCCAGATATAAACTTATTAGCTCCTCAGTAGGGGAAGTGATGAGTAAACGACCCCTAGTGATTTCACCAATGGTTTGCCCATACAACCCATTTGCACACATGTCGGCATGCAAAATTGTGAAGATGTTTACTGAAAACAGTAGGCCGTCCGTGTGACAGCAAAACTTCATACAGCGAACTCTCGTGTATGAAAACATACACAATGACACTAAAGAAGATGAACCAATAATCATCGGACGAGGATCTCACCACCACCTGCACTTCTATCTAGAGGTTTGGGAGATGAATAGATCGTCTTTTCTAGTCTTCAAAATTCATCATTCATCCACTCACCCTGATATTTGTTTTTTTTCTCATATCTATGTTGATATCTCAGATGGAATTGTCAAGATGAATGATTCCATTATAAAAAAAATGGAGTCTGGCTCCATATATTTCTTTGAGAGAATCTGTTGGCAATTGTCTATAAGCCACAAGGATCCGCTAGACTAAATTACCATCCAGTTAGCAACATGCAATCCACATTTAGGAACGGACTGTTCGGTACAGTTAATCACATTGAGCTGATAGAGAATTGCATGACAGAGCATAAAAGAGAAACCATTCTTTAGATATTGGTTTTTCATTTCTACTGTCAGTGAGTATATGAGATATTGAGATTGATAAAAGTGACAAGAATGGACATAGCGTGTAAAGGTTTCCATGGAGTTTCAATCATATGAAGGACTTAGTATGAATATATAAAATATACGGATTGACTTGACACCGGATGAGACAGTCTTCGTCTTCCCTATCATTACAGCGATATTGAGAGAGATTTATCCGAAGTACACATAAAGAACTTCTTCAGGTTGGATACGTAAATTTATCGTCTAGAGAGTATACCTCTGCTGTGGTGATTCCACTAGGAAATATATACATGGCATTTATACAGATAGGCATATGGGATGACTTGTATTTAATAATCGACACACAAAGTTGTGTGATGATTATGTCATTGATATGCTATGCCTAGATCTAAAATATCTCTGATATGGTTCGGGATCCAAAGGTATTGGCAAACTCATATTGGCAATACCGATGGAAATTGTCAAGATGAAAAGATCTATTATGCACACAAAAGGTCTGGCTCTGTATTCTTCTTTGAGAAAATAAGTCAGCGCATGTCTATGGGCCCCAAGGATCGGATTCTAGACTAGATTCTCAATCTCTTCAAACATGCAATCCAAAATTTGGAACGAACGTTAGGCCATTCACCTACTGAACGAAAGCTGAAGAGACGTGAAATCAACAAGAATCATAAACCGACACAACTATGAACTCGCGTTGCTCCATGCTTGAGAATTTATTCCAGTTTAACAAAAGAATTTTCATTTCTACAGCTCTAAAGACTAACTATCGGGACCGCATCAGCAAGATGAAGCTTTCAAAGCCGCTGTGCCGTCCTGCAGTGCGACGACAAGGCCTTCCACTTGCGCTTACACACTCCTCAGGTTGTTGCTCATTCTGTTTCCTTCTTCTCTGTGTGTGCCATAGTAACTTACCTGGTTGGAATAGGGGACTTTGCCACTTATGTGGTACTTCCCCTCTTGCCCTGCTACTACTTCGATGGCTCCTCTTTCCTCGTACAAGACCATAAAATGGTTTGCCCAAAGGGTTACCTTCAACTGTCTTCTGACCGCTCTCAATTTCTTGTGGTAGTGCTTGATTCCTGCACACATGATAGTGTAAGTCGACAAAATTCTTCTTCCACACAATCCTCCTATGAAGAGAGAAAATGCCTTCAAACAGTGTAAAAATCACTGAGAGCACCGATCTCGAAAAGTGCATGCAATACTCGTCCGCCCATAGATTTTCAAACAGAGCAACAGGATGCCTAAACAGGTAGAAAAATCTACTAACCTGTATGAGGTTTTGGAACCTGTTGCTCCCGTCACCTTTTGAGGATCCCTTTTGTTCACTAACTCTTTGCACTTCGGGCAGATAAAGTCTCCAGACTGCTCACACTCTTGCCTTATCACATCGTCCGTATCTTCATCACTACTAGGAGGTTCTGGAAGGTTGATGCAACTAAAATGATACCATTCCCCGCAACGATCGCATGCTATCATGGCTCGATCCTCATCATACGGCTTTTGACAAAGACAATAAAGCACACTCCTGGCTTTCAGTGCCTGATTAAAACAACATCCAATTCGTTGGTACATGCCTTACACAACCATCAAAGCAATTATCTGAGCAGACATCACTGTCACTTCTCTAACAAACGACTCATCTTTATATATGATTGTTCATCAAACTTCTTCTCCTCATCACATTGTCTAACGTATCTCTAGGAACTTGCACCTTATGCTAGTATCATTAGAAAGGTAAACATGCTTCAGTTAGGTACCTGCATTACAGTAAAACTAATTAGGCAACAATTTAAGCTAACATTTACTTCTCTGGCATACAATCTTATGCTTAGGTTAAGCAGAAACGTAATCGAGTTTTATGACATGCTCACCGCAAGTTCCTTCGGTAGCGACACTGGCAACATCTCCCCTTCCGCATAAAGGTCCAGAACATCCGGTAAAGGCATCCGTCCGTGATCGTTGACAACCTGTGTTTAGGTGATATTGCATACGAAGATCAGTCCAGTGCTCTAATATTTCTCCCCTAATGACGATTTCGACATTTCGAGTGAGGGCATAACGTGATACCAAGCAAGATGTCAAATACTCGAGATACATATGTGCGGTTTAGAGTGTGACATACTAAGACACTTCATAGTGTCATTGCTTATTCCTAAAGCAGAAGCAAAGTTCACTGATTTCAAAATTCAACTAAAGAAAGAAATATGCTCTACACCAGCCTTCCCGAGAAATAATCTGCACGAAAACTGAGCCTTTCAAATTCCGATAGAGGCTTAAACTTAAAGTGGTAAAGTTTTTACGTTCCAAATCTTGATAGAGACTTGAAGCCTCAATATCTTATCAATTTCCCTTTCAGTGGCACATTTTACTTTTAGAAGTAACTTCGGGAGTCATATGGTAGTTTCCTAGCAACATAAAGACCCTGTACCGTGAGGGCGTGTAGGTGCATTTGGCCAAGGATGTTTCACTAAACTGTGATTAAAAGTTTACTGGGAAGATTAAGCGATTAAGATGACAAAACAGAGGGGGAACATATGACCCAATGGAGATAATCTTCTTCGACATATTCCCAGCACAGGCTTCAGTGGTAACAGTCCCATCAGAATGCATTATTGAGCAAGAAGAGACATTAGCTTGAACGCAATGTAGTACTTGCGTTGCAGGGACGAAGAGACATGAAAAATGAAAACCGCATAGACAATAGTACGTGCATATAGTAAGGCTAAGTACAAGTACTCGATACGGCCCTTGTGGGCTTTGAGTGGAAATAAAGGTTTAGTATATGGACAGTACAATTTAATAACCTTTATCTTATAAATCGCACTAAGTAGCTATAAAAAACGTTATAATGCCTACATACAAGGATACGGTAACTACCAGTGTTCAGTAACTACCAGTTCAGTAATACTAGGTCCAGTAACTACCGTGTTCAAAATTATGTACATCTTGAATAAATTCACAATGACTGACTAGCTCAACTCTGAGAGATGCAGTCCTGGATAGCACTTGACCAGAGGAAGAGCGTAATTACCTTAAGAGTACAGATATATGAACATAGCCTACCAAAAACTGAGACCTCATCTAATCCAGGGTCGACGAGCACTGGAACTCACGTTCTGACCATCGATGGCACGTCTTTCTCTATTCTTTAATGATGGATGCAGGTTCGAAAAAGGATCTTAGAGTGTTTAGTTGAGTTAAGAGAGTGGATTTTCTAATGTTTTCTTTTCTCTTTTCATCAAAATTTTCTTCCAAAAACTTGTTAATGGCAAGAAAATAAATACACTTGGAGAGCGCAGTACAACGGAAAGTTGTATGCTGCGTTCGGGAAGGATGAATCGTTCCTAAAAAAGAAAAGAATTTATAGATTTTTTTTATTGAAATTGTAGGTGCGATGATTTACTTCACGGGCGAGGTCTCTGGTTCAAGTCCAGGATAGCCCAGCTGCGCCAAGATAAATAAAAAAAGCATAATGATTTATTTTTGCATGCTTTCCTTGCTTTCTTTGGCCTGGGTATAGGGGATATAGCTCAGTTGGTAGAGCGCCGCCCTTGCAATTGGGTCGTTGCGCTTACGGGTTGGATGCCTAATTGTCTAGGCGGTAATGATAGTATCTCTTACCTAAACCGGTGGCTAACTTTTTCTTAGGAATGAGAAAGAGGACTGGAACATGCCACTGAAAAGTTTTACTAAGACAAAGATGAGTTGTTAAAAGTAAAAAAAAGGTAGGATGGGTAGTTGGTTAGATCTAATATGGATCGTACATGGACGATAGTTGGAGTCGGCGGCTCTCCTAGGGTTACCTCATCTAGAATCCCTGGGGAAGAGAATCAAGTTGGCCCTTGCGAACAGCTTGATGCACTATCTCTCTTTAACCCTTCAAGCCAAATGTGGCAAAAGGAACGAAAAGCCATGGACTGACCCCATCGTTTCCACCCCGTAGGAACTACGAGATCGCCCCCAAGGATGTCGAATAAGGCATCCAGGGGTCACAGACCGACCATAAACTTAATTCAATAAGGCAAACGGATTAAGCTCTTTTGTTCTTATTGGTAAGAAGGGTCGGAGAAGGGTAACAACTCAATATTAAGACTAATTAGTCAGGTGGAAAAAAAAAAGAATTTTAAATTCTTGTGTAGTTAGATATTTTCAAATTACAAAAGTTCCTATCATTCTTCAATTCGACGCCTTTTGAGTTAAGTAGCTCTTTGGAGAGCACAGTACGATGAAAGTTGTAAGCTGTGTTTGGGGGGGAGTTATTGTCTATCAAAGGCCTCTATGGTAAAATAAATCAATAAAGTCTAAGAGACGATGGCTTACCCTGTGGCGGATGTCAGCGGTTCGAGTCCGCTTATCTCCAGTTGATGATCGGAATGAAGACAATATACTTGCCTTGGATATAATAAAAAAAATTTTCATCTTTATAACCAAGTTGATCTAATTTCTTATTATTTATGGACGTTGATAAGATCTTTTTTTTAGCACTTTATAATGGCATAGCCTTTAATTAATGGCGAGGTTCAAACGAAAAAGGGCTTACGGTGGATACCTAGGCACCCAGAGACGAGGAAGGGCGTAGCAAGCGACGAAATGCTTCGGGGAGCTGAAAATAAGTATAAGTCCGGAGATTCCCGAATAGGTTAACCTTTGAAACTGCTGCTGAATTCATAGGCAGACAAGAGACAACCTGGCGAACTGAAACATCTTAGTAGCCAGAGGAAAAGAAAGCAAAAGCGATTCTCGTAGTAGCGGCGAGCGAAATGGGAACAGCCTAAACCGTGAAAACGGGGTTGTGGGGGAGCTAAATAAGTGTTGTGTTGCTAGGCGAAGCAGTTGAGTCCTGCACCCTAGATGGTGAAAGTCCAGTAACCGAAAGCAGCACTAGCTTAGGCTCTAACCCGAGTAGATGTGTTTCTCGAACTAGTGTAGGATTCACCCCTCAAAAGTTAATGCGAGGGGAGGAACGGAAAGCTAAGCTAAATATTACTTGAGCACGTCATAGTTTGACCTCTATACATGTTTAAACATTTAACCAACAGGCTCTGAGTTCAGCTCAACAGGCTACACGTGTATTCAGTAAATTATGCAAAGTAGTTTATAGCATAAGAGGGCTGTTCCACCACTGAAGAAAAAAAATTGAAGAGATAAAAGATTTCCACACTGGGGATGAATATCTACAAACAGGATAGAGATGGCCAAGAATTGATATTGCAGAACTAAGATTGCTCATAACGTCTCATAAACAGATATGGCAATTGCAGAATATTAATCGACGTATAAGCAAGGGCCGTCGAATTTGTAACATCTATAGAGATAAGGGACAATTGAGTGAAAGGGACGATCTAAGGCCTAAAAAACACTTACTGACAAATTGTCGACTGAGTGCAACGATGTTTAAGCACAAATGGACATGTAAAGCGTGTATTTTCAATGCATTCACTACGCAGTCGTCCAATGATGAGCACCTGCTTGTTTTCTAGTGAGATATTAAACATGAGTAGCCATAGCAAACTCCACCCAAGCTGTTAGATGGCTCAGTTCATTCATTTACATCCTCTACCTTCCAACCCAGCTGACTAGCATGCGCACATGATGAATCCGAAAGTAGAACAACACGTCAATCAAAATTTCTATGGTATGAAGGCGGAGGGTTATCTGTAGAAAGATGAGAGTAATTGTATTAGGGAGTATTTGGGGAAAAAAGGATCGGGATGAAAGAAAGATAATAATAATATGTGGAAGAAGCGATTGTTAAAGGAACTGGAATGATGGAATGAAAAGACAAGTATAAATCCGCTAGTTGATATCCTTGTCAAGAAGTCAACAAAAAAACCATCCATCACAAGGGTTCCCAAATCTTCTCCTCCCCCTCACTCGAATGTTTCAGCCATTCTGTACGCTCATTTCAGGCTTTCTTGTTTTCCGCGATGAACGAGCATAATGGTTACACAATCGACTTAATGGTCTGATGGACTGGACGGGACCTGTTTGGCACGTGTTGCCCACTGAATTGCGCATCCTTCTCTCTGCTTCAGCTCCTGTAGAACACAGTCCTCTCCAGATATTGATAGGGCGTGAGCCTGGAGCGACGAAACAGGATAGAAGAATGAGTCAGTAGTATATCCAACTGAACTTTGAACCAATTTGACTGCAAGGGTAAAATATTAAACAGAAAAATACTAGAATTTACCCGGATAGGAATGTAAACCTTGACTAAGGTTGCTCTAAAAGCAAAGTGGAAAAAGCTTTCTGGCGCACGGGGAGGTTTTGACCAAAAAATAGAATAAACTTCAATGCTCTTGATTATCCTGGTTTTGTTTAGATAGATTAAATATAAAAAAGCAAAAATTGTTTATACAAACCCAGTGAACACAGGAAGTTCTTGATTACGAAATCTGGAAAGCCACAGATATGATACAACTGACCATCGACTAGCATATCCTCATGACTGTTAAGGAAAAGGTGCTTGAAAAAACATCAACTCAATCTGATGATGGACCGTACTTCTTTGATGGCACGCGTTATAGGACGAAGGATAGGTTTGGAGGTCCCAGTTAGCAGTTTTGTACTTCGGCTCCGCCAGGCACTGGCAGCTATGGCTTTCTTCATCAAAATAATCTCTTCGGCTTCCACCTCCATAACTTCCAGGGCCTGCAACAAAACCTTCTACTATCAGAAGTGTTTCCAAATTTTATGCTTTGCGGGGGAGTTAGTTCAAGAAAGTACCAAGGGTGTCGGCGAGGGCATCCATGAGAAACAGAGGATAAATTGTCAGGCTAAAAACGAGTACATAGACTTTGGAGTACTGTTTTGACTGTCGTACAGTGATATATTTCAAGAGCAGAAAACAAGAACTGCATCCCCGAAGCTTCTTGTCGTAGGCAGTGAACAAGTTAAGAAAGAAAATGGCTATTGACCTTCAAAAGGCCCACTAGCGAGCTGTGACTGACGGCCATTTTCTCCTCCCGACAAACCAAAGCTCGCTCGACTATGACTAATAACTTTTTTTGCCACAACTGTACCAACTTCACCAAGACATCGAGCAGTTCCTTCTCCCTCATCCTGCACAGGGAGATCATCATCAAAGAGAAGTATATATGACAAAGTTAAAGATGTCGGTGGCGCACACAATCTAACCATGCATAGAGTACAGCTATCAATCTGATATAAACGGGAACTGAGCTAAAAGTAGTTCAGATTTCCAAGCAAAAATTGTGCTTAACTCTAACCCGTCATAGACTGGAAATAACATACTCATACACAAAACAGATGGCACAGAAAAAGGGGCATACATTCATGTGCGTGTAAATAATTACCTGCACTGCTGGTCTCTAGCAAACCGCTGAAGCTCCAAAAGCGTTTTCAGTTTCGGACGCCGGGTAAGATGAACCTACAAGCACGTAAAGGTTCATTACCATCCGTACGTGGTAAAGGAAAGTTACTTCATGCCATTTATATCAAGCATCTCTTGCAATTAACTGGAAGTTCACCTTGGTAGAAAGGTCTTCATGTAACGTCAAAGCGCCACTTGATAATACGCTGCAGAAAGTACACATATTCTGTTTCTGTCCTCTTGTTTGAGCGGATGTTACGCCCAAACAGGAAGCATGATACCTGTTTATACGTTAAGATCCTGATCCTGGTTAGAGTCCTAAGAAAGATTTTCTTAACCAAAAACCTTGAAACAATTTAACAGAAAATTCCCGTATCGGAGAAACTGGAAGATACAAGAAAGTAATGCTTAAAAGAGTAAAAAGCCAAACGGTGAGGCGAAGTTTCTGTCAAGCTCTGGTGAACATATATGGATCCAAGTATCGGAAGCAAGATATTGTCGAACACATAACTACTTCGGATGCAACCGGTATATAGTAGACTAGTAAGCTTTCAAGCAACGTACCGTTCCTGACAACTGTCACAGGAAAGCACGCTGGTGTCGGCCTTTTCTACAACTCGTCGACAAATGCATAAAGACTCCATTTTGGTCTTTCTCTCCTCGGACTCCAATTGTTGTATGCCGTACTCTACAGACTCTCGCATCTGCAACCAACCGTGTAATGTCAGTGGCTGTTTTGCTTCATGACGTAGAAAAACTCCAGTTTAAAAGCTGATTATGTCTCATGTCAAAAGCAAGTTCATCAAACAGAAAGTGAATGAACAAAATCTCTCAACATGATTGAGCCAACCACTGCCTTCATCCATTTGTCAACATGGATGTTTACCTTCACCAAAAGCTCTTCAAGAGTATAGGATGTAGTTGAAGGTTGACAAATGATAGCTTCGTAGCACTTCAACACCCATGACCCGACATTGACGGCTTCCTGGTTCAGTAAACCCTCTTCGTCATTCTGTACCATATTTGTTTCTCCAGCTACCTGCAGAGAAAGCACCCGGAGGGAAACAAATATCTTACACGTTCGTCGTGCATTAACACTTCAAATAAACTTCTTTAACGCTTGAATATGGCAAGCCAAAACGAAGGATGAACTACCAACCAAACTATACAATGAGTAATAATCTTCTCTAATGTGGTCACATACATAGAAGTCTGATATAAGATCGTAATCAGTCAGTCTACTTTGTTCGAAAGAACCACTTGAAATTGTTAGTAAGTGCATGGAAGCGGATGGTATGTATAAATAGATTTCCGATGACACATGGCAATACAAGGTGGGCGACACCAAGCAGGAAATGGCTGATCTGATCACGTAGCATATTGGCAGTATATTTCTATCTAATCAAAGCGTCTCCAGCAGCCTATTCGCATTGTAGAGCAGCTACTTAAGAATACGTACTCGGAGGTCCGACACGGTGTCCAGCCAAATACACTGGACTGCGGAAATGTATTTTCTGATATCCGAGTGTGTACAGGTTAGGGATATCCGTGCGTGTATAGAACAGGGCTAGGTCCATGAGCAGGTTGTTGGGTCAACAAAATGTTAGAATACAGATTACTCCCTATTACTTCGGACTTGTACATTACTGTCCTAGTTGTTAGAACTGAGATTACTAGTACTTAGGATGGATAACAACTGGGGATGCGACCCTTGAATGGTTGCGTCCATGACAGGGGTGTGTCCCACTGTCAGGGGCATATCCCTCCTGGGAAGTGCGATCCGTGTGCCTCTTTCAGTCTTTGGTCATATCCGGATTGGGTACTTAACCAAATCCGGGACACCTGTGTTCATCCATCAATCAAATTTCAACCCTTCCTCAACTGTGCGTGATCTCTCACTCTCACTTGCTAATATGATCTAATATGGTATCAGAGCAGGTTCCATTCTGATTCAAGGACGCTTGAATCCAGAAATCCAGGAGGAAGCTTCTCGCTATAAACCATCTCTGTGATACCTGAAAGAAGCACACGGATCGCACCTCCCAGGAGGGATATGCCCCTGACAGTGGGACATACCCCTGTCATGGGACGCACCCATTCAAGGGATGCAACCCTTGAATGGGTTGCATCCCATTGAATCTCCCCAGTTGTTATCCATCCTAAGTACTAGTAATCTCAATCCTAACAACTAGGACAATAATGTACAAGTCCGATGTAATGGAGAGTAATCTATATTCTAACACTCCTACTTGCTACCTACTTACTTCTCTCTTCCTCATTTTTATCTGATACAATAAGTGTGATTGTTCAAGGATGCGGGTTTAAACAACCGATAGGAGCTTTTAAGCAGAGGGAGGTCAGATAAGAACTATTTAATGAGCGGGACACCCTCACGTATTACTACAAGCAACTCCAAACATACTGTATCCTATTCTAAAGTAGACGCGTCTCCAACAGCCTATTTCCATTGTAAAACAGCTACCTCAATAACACTTTCGCCCTTGGCATGGCTGCCTTTCCGCAGACTGAGGACAAGGAGATGAGGATCCTTGGTTGTGCTTACAGTCCTAAACGTCTTGATTGTAAACATCTTTAAGGTGAAACAATCTGAATACTTGAAAACTCGTTATATGGTATGAAGAACTAACCTGAAGGTCGGAAAGGTCCCTCCACGTCAAACATGAAGTGCCAGCCAAAGCTTGTTGAACCTTCCTCTTCCATGTCCTACAACCAAAACATAGACAAATCAAGTCATAACAAACTGACTGCTGGTAACATGTGCGTGTAATAGCCTGAGGACAGAAATTACGCACGCAGAAAGCGGTGCTAGTATGAAAAATTTTCTTAAGTAAACGACGAGGAGAGAGTAGGAGACAAGGAGGATGCGAAGAAGAGAAGACTTCTCGCGAGTGAAGATGGTCGATTTTAGAGCGGGAAATTTCGTTGGCTTCTCGTCAAAGGTGAAAGTGCTAATCAGGAGACCTTTCCATAGCGTGTTTTACATGCCTTGACTAGCAGAGCTGTTTCTTCCAAAAATGAAGCATTTGACTACTTGAATTCAGACTGCGTATGCTTTCGAGTACACATGATCGTGAGAATTTGAGGACTTCGACAGCTGGAAAGAGCTAGGCACATCTGAAACCTCATGCTTTAGAAGTAGAAAGTACAAACCTGTGTGAAGCCAGTATGTCTAACAAACACCCTGCCTCTGACACCACAGACACGGGCAAATTCTGTAACATCGACAATGTAGGTGTAATTAGGTTGTAAGTAATACCAATATCTTACAAGAAAACGGCCAACGTTCAAGTTCTGTAGCACAAACCATGAGCGTAACTTAGTTGAAGCAAATGTCATCTAATTCATAATATAATAAAATTCGTCATATTGTTAAAAAAAACAATAAATAATCCAAAACAGGTACAGCGTCAAAGCACATTACCTTAGCATCAGAAATCAGCTGTTCCAACTGCTCTTCAGTGCAGCTACCTTTCACGCCAATGCCAGGTAGAAATGTGGCTGCAGCTTGGAGCCATGACTTGGCATCATGAAGAATCTTATGAAGTAAAGATACTTGAGACACCTTCACGGGTAAGCTCGCAGCCTCGGCCAAGTGCCTTTCCACCTCCTAAAACAAAGTTAAACAAAACAAAACCAATTCAATTTCAACTTTACCTGGCATCAACAACAAAGAAAGGTGGCAACCTTAAAACAAAACCATGCATGATCACTGGCACATACCTGGTATGAAAGAATCAATAAACATGTGCGTTAGCCGCCGGGTCCAACTCCAACTGGAGGAGCAATAGTTCTATTGAAAGTTGGGCCTCAATGAAGCTAGTTAATGAAGGAGGAGTTTCGATAAACACCACACATGACTTACCTTCACTGTCGGGCAACACTCGGCTAGCTTAAGAGCTTTCAAACTCCAATTGGTGGCATCACGAAGACCTTGCAGCTCCAGAATTTCTGGAATTTGGAGGCCGAATGACAGACCACGAGCTACGGCTGTTTCCAGTGCTAACAAGTCTTCTTGCAGCCTGCTCTTCATTTCTTGACCGACTGTCGTAATAGTGAATTCTGAGCTATTTGGCTGCAATGTCTTGCACTCTCCTGATGTGACGGTGGAAGTAAACCCGCTCGAATCTTCTCTACCTTCACTAACCAAAACTGAACTTTTCAACTTTGTTGCCTCTACAACCCATTCTTGTGCAGAATTGAGAGCTGTTGACAGTACACTCACTTCATCCAAACTCACTAAGAGTTTGTTTGCATCGTCGACCACTCCCTGACAATATAATGTAAACAATATAATGTAAGATGCTCGAAAAAAACGTTATACATCATCAAAGAAATTTAAGTATCATCGAAGGAGTTTCCAATTGAAAAAATCATTCGTATTTTCATTCAAAAAACATGTGTCCATCATAAGTAGCTCATTCCACCACACTTCAGGTTTGAAAACTTTCGATACGTCCAATTTGCACATTGAACATCAGAAAGGACTTACTGCAAGGGTGGCCAGATCAAGAGAAGAAGATTGATCTTCCTCGCACTGGAGAAAAGTAGAACAAAACGGTTTTGCCCGATCGAGCCAGGTATCGGCATCTGCTAAAGCTTTTTCCACAAGATCCAAGGCTGATAATCGAACGTTTAAACATCCTGCAGCGCTGTGACCCGCCAGTACTTATGGTTAGAACATTCCTCAACCATGGACATAAAAAAATTATAATACAATAGATATCACAGTACATGATCAACCGCTCATGTAACATGCAAGGTACCAAAGAGATTATCGTAGTTTAAATTCTGAGGCTAAATGAACTCTCAAAACAGACAAAGGTCAGAACCTTTATTACAAGGCTAGGTGCGCATTCCGTAATTCTAATATGTGCCTGTCATAGCATCAATACTAGGTGCAAATGGGAAAAGAAAATATACTGTAGAAATTAATTTCAACGATGTGAGAGCGGGTCGTTTACAACATCCGAGAATGGTTCCGAGAAGGGGCAAGAACAGGTCTTTGAGAACTTTCCAGATGTGGAAAAAGAATTGAAAAGAAAGGTCAAATATAAGGCAATTACTAAATTGACCTCTAAATATCAAAAAAATGTGTAACTTCACCACCGTCCTACAGTGGTAGCGATCGATGGACACATGTCCTACTCAAGGAAGATCAAATCCGCAACACCACCGTATAGAGGCTCGACAGTAGGGATATTTGAGATTTACTTGCATATTAATACACAAGCAGAAAATAGACTTTCCCCCTGTGACAGTGAAAACTCCTAAGTGACTGTCAACGATGAGGAACTGTACAATATCATTTCACACGTACCTGGCAAGATCAACAAATTGGAAGAGTGATCCACCGGAATGTAACAACTTTTCTGCTTCGCTTTCCCATGCCAACGCATCCGACAGAGTGGAACGAATTTGACGCACTAAACTCCCATCAGATACTTGCAGTCTGCGTAGATCATAAACGACATGATTGGTTATATACGTTTAGCAAGACCGAGTACAAGTACTCAATGCAAGCAGTGGGAGGGGCATCATGAATTTAAAAGGTACGCTCAAGAAATGAAATGAAAGTTAGCTGCAAAGAACGAACGTGATTGGTAGTGAATGCTTAACACCATAGACAGGAGTGGATACAATCAAGCAAAAGCCAAGGGAACGCTTAACGAAGGGAATCAGAATTGTCTGTGATGTACAGCAGTTCAAGCAGCATAAGCATTCCAAGACAAGTCTAGTTTACGTAAACAGCTTAAGGGAAACACAAATTGTACATGTCAAGAAAAAGGTGATCAAAACATGATGTGATATAAATAGTTGTATCAAAATTGCAGCAATTATGGACAACTTGCTCAGAAACGGACACCTGAACAAGAAGTGTAAAAATACAGGCATCCAAACGAAGTATATGCCAGGCATGCAAAAAAATGTGACATGAGTGTTCACAACAGGACCAAAAATAAGGCCAGTTGAGCTGGGTCAAAATAAAGTTCCATGTTTAGATCGTAATTGACATGGATGCATAACTTTTACGTAACACACCTTTCGATATCTGCGGCAAGAGCTTTGAGAGAGTCAACTGTTGGTCTCTGTTTTAGCAGCTGCAAAACTCGAGACGAGTAAAATATCATTGGTGAGACCCAATAGTTCATACTGCTGTGGGAGGTCTAGAAGAACAGCTATGCGCTGTTCGTGGCAGCAAGTGACGGGCATCACTATCTGCATGAATTTTATTCTCATGATATAACAATGTAGCAAAGACCGAGTACGAGTAATCAATACGAGCAGCGATAAAGCGGCGGTACTCAATACAGTGAAGTTCCGTGGCAACCTGCACCTTCGTAACATGATTAGGATCAAAATACTTCACATGCCGAAATAGACATACTGTAACCTACTATAATGCCGCTTGAAGAAAACGGTCATGCAGTCCAGTCCGATGCTGGTAGAACGTAGGCGAGAGCAAACGCGAGTCCAGTCCACATGACGATGAAGCAAAGATGAAAGTAAGGAAAAGGTAACTAAGAAGGTGAGAGGGAAGTGTTAACAGGGTACCATGAAGATGCCCAGGAAGAGATGTGCAAGCTTGCATTCTATGGACACTAAATAGATATCCAGAGGCTATAGTACAGGAAAGTTCCGCTTGGGCTAGCAGCTTAGCAAACTATGAGAACAATTATCATTGCAAACGCGTGTACGACTTGAATGCAGCCTGAAAACAATCACTGTCATGAAGGGCGAAGCTGGTTGACCGTATTTCAGAGCACGCGCAAGTCGAGTAAAGATGACGTTACAGCAAACGTGGATGTGGATAATTGTTACAATGTACCACGAACGTATCCAGAAAGAGATGCACAAGCCTGGATCCTAAGGATACTGAAGTGAAAGTCCAGAGGCTACAGTCAATCTAGAAAGTGAAAGAGAACTGTAAACTGCTATCATCAAGGTATCCTAGAAGAGGGATGTGTAATGATGAAGCCTATGGATACTATGGAAATTCTGAGACTATACTCAACGCAAATACCGAGACTTGGTGGATTATATGGTGCAGAAAATAGCTAAAACTGAATACAAAAAGTACGGTGAAACATCAATCCATAAATTTTCAAAACAATTAGATTATACGAAAACAGGCATTTACTTCTTTTGGAATCTTAGGTGTGAATGTGTGGGTTTGATAAGTTTAGACACGAGAAAAAAGGGAGAAGTTGGTCAGATGATAAATCCATCAATTGCATCCAGAAATCCTCAGGCAAGTGTCAAAGCAAAGGCCGAGACTTGGTCGGATAATGAATTGCATCTCTACTCATTCCCTGCAGAACATCAACTGTCCGATATGATGTATAGAAGTACTGAGATTGATAAGCAACACGAGGGGCAATACAAGACTGGTTGAATGTACCTGAGAAGAGTTTTGCATCCAACGTATTTTGTCTAGCTCGACCAGTAGCGTATCCATTTCTGATATGCCTGTAAACCAGAGCATGAAGTATGAAGACAACAGGAATGTCCATGATAACAAAAATAGGATCCACATGGTGACTCTAAGAACAGTTTTGCAAGACGAAAAAAACTGTTCAAAAACGGCACAAAATTAATACAAGAAATTCAGTTGGAAGGCTTATGTACTTCAAATATTCTAAACCAAATTACCATTGACTTTGAGCTTTTGCCCTGCCTGCAGAAGATTCTCCAAAAGTCTGGTCACCTCAGCATAGTCTACCGGATCTCGACACAGGGTCAAAACAGCTGCTGTATCCTGAATCCAAATTCGGGCTTTCTGTAACCTCTCTTCTATCAGGTCCACTTCCATCAAACGGACTGGTATCGCCTCGCTGTCCTTCAGTGCTTCAACTAGTTCCTATTATACAAAAAACAATCCACCAACCTCAAAATCTTGGACTAGGAGTACATGAGTACTTTTACGACACACTCCACTTATCAGAGAAGCTTCGAATTGTACCAAGTTCTATTCCGCAGCGACGAACAGATCAATGTGAAGGCGCAAAAGACGAGAGAACATGTACAGGCGAAATTATAGCTTCCCAACACGAAAGTTCCCGACCCCTACAAAAATGCAGGATGTCCAAAAGCATCTGCCACTCAACTACATCCTTGTTTACCTACACACAGCGAAAGGGTACACGTTCCAATTGCTAACAGCGATCTGACCTGGAAAGTGGAGGAGATAAGTAATGAAGATGCACGCTCCTGCCAAGCTTCGGTTAAATTGATGATAGTCTCCAACGACTTCTTTTCGCCTACCATCACAGGTATCTTCGAACCCTGTGTCCAGACCAGTTTGCACATTCCACTAGTGTTTGAATACTATTCGGTGGGTAAGACCAATCAAGAATCTAAAACTTCAATTTTTTTCGTGACCGACTAACAAATGAGAGAACGAAGACTCCAGTCTTAGACGGGCAAAAACCAACCTCTTCATGCAAGGCCTTGAATTGCTGCAAATCTGCCCACTCATTGCGAACGCGGTTACGTAGAGACTTTGCACACGTAGGTAACAATTTTTTCACCCGTTCACTCCAAGCCTGCAAATGTCCCATACTATGGCCTTCAATAAAAGCAGATGGCAGCAGAGCTTGTGTGGCATTTACATGAGAAAAGAACTTGTTCGAGTCTTCGTACAAGAGGTTCACTCTAGATCTCACCTGAGCTAGTGTAATGACATCCTTGAGCTGCTGGCACTCTGGAAGTTCGAAAGGCGAGTGGCCAGCTTCTTGCTGGAGCGATTGTAAAGCTTTGATCTGTTTCAGCCAGTAATTTCGCATCAAGGAACACGAAAGCAGATCTGACATAGCACATGCAGTCTCAGCTTCAATTAGTCTCACAAAACGTAACTGAGGAAAGTACAATTTGTCGTAGATTTACCTCTAGTGGAGACGAAGCAGTAAGGGCATCTATAATCTTCTGTTGAAGACTGCAGGCAGGCTCCAATAATGCCTGAAAATTAACAAAAATACTGTGTTAAACCAGACTCGTAAAAATTTTACAGGCATGAACTGTACATTCCCGCCTTGACGACAACGACTGACCTTCAGTTTGAAAGAATGAGGCTCCACCCACGGAATGGGATCGACAGCTACGAGCTGTTGAATTGTTGCCAGAGGAACCTTGACTGCCTTTCCGCTACTAGCCATTGAATGTCTGTCCACAATTGTCGAGCAAGCTGCAACATCTTGCACCCATTTGTGTGCAACTGTAAGCTGCTCCACCATCGTTCTTACCTGGTCCACGACATGTATTGTTAATATCTGACCTACTTCATAGTGCTTCTTAGCTGGAATAGTCAAAAATAGGTTACCCATAATATTGCCCATATAGAATCCCCTTAGGTACTTCCAGTGTTTAGAGAAATGAAAACCTAGAAGAGCCAAGCACATACCTGATCCATTTCATGTCCTCCCCACAGAAACTGCTCAGATTGACTGAGCAATTCTTCCAACACAGGAGACCGTGAATGGCTTCGACCTGCGGCACGTGCTTGACTTAGCCACGCTTCAGCAAGCTCGGCATGCTTGTAATGACGCCCTTTTACCTGCAATGAAGAATTTTTGATAAAGAGAGTCTTATAGCTGAAAGTCAATATGTACATGAAGCATAATCTTGAACATGAAAGCGACAGATGACACCGTAAGGATCTTTACTCCGAACAAGCTCTAATCTAACATGCGACCATCTTCATAAACCGTATGATAACAAAATACCGATGGCGCAACATAATAACCGCTAACTATATCGTCAAATCATGAAAGCCTCATCATCTCCCTCGTTGCGACAAGCCAATCAAATCAGCACCTTTTTCATTAACGGACTGGTTAAGGAAGACGCTCCATACTGCCCACGACGCAACCTGCGTTTAGTAATGCTAGGTACTGCAGCTAGATCTCCAACCTTGGAATCCTCCGACGATTGGTCCTCATGGGAAAGTAGGTCATCCAGCTCTGCGAGAGAAAAGCGATACTGGAGACATTGTTGATCCGCACTGCACTCACAAAGCTGCCTTGCATGCTACATGCCAGGAACACAGTTTAAGATTTAGATAACATAGTACATGGACAACCGCAGGGGATTAGCATGCAAGAGGACCAAAGCATATCAAGTTTAGGTGGCACGTCACAAGGGTGCCAGTAGAGTCAACTCAAGCATGCATTAAAGTCTAAGAAACAGATACCAACATGCTGTGCGAGCTAGCAAATCGGCGAGGGAAGATCACCTGCAAGCACACGGCCTTTCCGGGCCGGCAACGGCAGACCACTGAAGACAAGTGCAGATAATACCGGCAAATTATACATTCAGCGTCCTGTGCAAGAAGTGAGTGGAGTCAATACAATATTAGGCCAAGAGCAGATATTAGCAGGGGTACAAGGTATGATGGTCATGCCTAGTAATGAGGTATATCATCCTCAGTCATGTTACCAATCTAACAGGCATCCCGTCGCCACATCGTTCACCTATACATAGAACAGAGTGAGCTTACTTCCTCGGCACCGATGAAGTCCTGACAATCACGGGGTGTCATCCGTGAGCTTTTGACCATCCCCATACTCCAGAGAAACTCTCTTTGATGCCGTTCCTTGGCAATAACTCGCACAAGCTCTTGTTGCAACCACGGCGATTTTCCACAGCTTTCATCGTTCTATTGGTTCAAATGAAACGGAAATAATAAGTTCAGAGCAACTGCATGATTGTCTGGTTAGCAGTGCTGTATCAGCTTCGATTTTGTTGAAACAATGCATTCCATTAAAATATATAAAAGAGAGATAAGTCAAATCACAATTGTTCCTACTTAAAATAAGCAGTTACCTAAGTCTCGTTCTATACAAAATTATTCAAACTTTAGCTTGTCGCTAAAACAAGAAAACTGCACAAAAATGGATGAGTGAGAACCTTTGCGACGACACAAAGCAACTCATCATGGGACAATACTGCAGGTTTATGGTAAAGTCGATAGCGTTCCACACCGAAGCCACCAAAAGGCAGCCAATCTGTGGGAGCAAAATTTACCGCCTCTGCACAGTTGAATCCTGGATACGACAGATCACCATAATGACTGAGCGTAAGACTATACCCGACCGGACGCGTATGCGACAGTACTTTCGTTTAAAGTTGACAAAAAAAAATGATCATACATATCAGACGACCCCAGATGACTACTTGTCCCCAGAAGATAAAACAGACCACAAACTCTCAAGAAAAGTTGACCATAACCTCTAGTAGCCCTTAATATCAAATGAGGTCATGCGTACCAAGATAAATTAATGCTGGACACAGTTCCTAATTATCTACAAAAAGCCCTCTAAGATTAAAACCAGCTGTAAAGTTGAAAATTGCTGTCTTTCACGATCCCAATCTCGAAAAATACTCTCAAGAGTGAAGCAATTTGCATGCGTGAATTTCCATTGATTGTAATTTCAAGAAGACACATGTTCAAAAGTGATGTTGTCAGACTAAAACTAATACTTCTTGCACTTTCCAGCCTGTAGTTCAAGAAGACCGAACATAAGACCGAACATAAGACGAAAACTTCTGGTTTTGCAGCTGGTGGCCTCTGCAAGCTAAAGACTCGTGAACACCCCTTCAATGTCTACAGTAAACGAAGGTCAATTGTTGAAGGCCCCACAACTACGTAATCGATACCAGTCAGCTTGAATATAAATCTTAACCAAAAATATGTATCTACAACACGTCCCCATGAATAACGAAGAACTCAGAGAGTAACAGAGATATAATTACAGCTCGAAACGACGCATAAGATGAAACCAATAAACGGTAGAATCATCAAAATACTCATACAAAATGACTACAGATATTCACTCGAGTGAGAATGTTGAAATCAGTCAAATCAATAAGTTTGGTGCAATTTACCATGATTAAAACCACCATGATACGATCTTGGAAACGTTATCACGAAATTGTGAGGTTCCTGACATTCCAAACGCGAAACAGTTACTCAGTGCATCTCTATGTCGAATAATAACAGTGCAAAACAGGCATACCCTAGCTAATACGCGCCAAAATTGATCTCCTTGACATAGGCCAGTATAAGACATTTTCACTTCCTTAAGACCTACTGTTCGATGTAGCAATCACCGCTCTTACTTGGAAGAATTGCCGCTGCGCGATATCACAAAGTAATCAATTTCGTGGGTCTGATAAGACTGGCAGTAGTTGCAAACCTGTACTGTGGTACACACAGGAACACCGTTGTCGCGCAGGACTGTCGGGTTCAACATCGTAACAAGCTGGAAAAGGAGATCTGGCTGCGCTTCGAAGAGGTCAGGAAAAGCTTTTTGCATGACCTGGACAACGAAAAACATCACCAAGTGTCACGGCCAAGCCCCGTTACGACATGCACCCTAAGACTCGATCATCAGAGTTCAAACGGCCCCGATTTGTCCAGCCACTGCTACGAATGATATAGGCACACTATACCCGGGGGTAGTAAGAACATTCACCAAAGGCACGGAATGGCAACTGCAAGCGAACGTTTTCCACTAAATTAATATCTGCCTAGACGTACCTTTTCGAATGCATCCGAGGCATGGCCTGGGACGCTGTACCAAGATTTCGGCTCTCCGCTGTCAACATCAAAGGCGTCCGAGATTAATAAACACTGGAAGCGAAGTATTTTCTCGTAAACTTGAAACGATTGCATCAGGAAAGAACAGGAGCGAGACACCCGCGTCAGACTGACACATAAGGAGGGATGTAGAGAGGCTAGAAGCCTTCCCACAATTCCTCCTAGCCATCGCAGAAAAGCATTAAGGCGGCCGCGTCAAACATCGAGCACGCTTACGACTTGGAAGAACGAAACCTAGAAGATCCGAGTCTTTCCTACACAGATCTTTGAACAGAAAACGCATCCAATTTGCGGCAGTAGTGAAGTGAACAAATAGACTGGAACAAACAATCAAGAACTCACTTGACAATGGACAAAAATAAAACCAATACGCAGAACCTACAGGTATACGTAACTAACCAGTGCAGGTAGTTGACGGAGTAGAAGCAATGGTCCTCGTAGTGCCAGCAAAAGGAAGAAAATAGCATCCCGATGTAAAGCCAAGGAACCATCACACCAGGTATGTTTTCATGCACAAGCCGCAGGACAGAACCCTCAAGCTTGGGGAAATTATTGACGTTCCACGGACTGTTTGCACCAGCGTCCCACGCTTCGGCGTTAGACCATGGTGGCACAGGGTCCGAAGCCCTAGGAAAACCGCTACCATACTTCCCAGTATCAAGATCGCTGCCATACAGAACCTCCACAGGCCCCGTACCTCTTTCAACCACACGCCAAAACTCCTTCTCGATGTCAGCATACGTCGAGGGTCTAGTTCCAAACCACTTGCGCTTAAAACGGTCAGCCATCCGACGGAAGGAATCGAAGGAGTATTCTTGGCCCTGGCCGAAGCCGAAACTCTCACTTTCAGAACCGATGCAATCGAGACAGTACCAGTTGCCCACTGGGACTGAAGATAGAGGAGGTGAAAGGCAGTACAAATGCCAACCTCGGTCACATCGATCACATAGCAACATCAACTGAGCATGTGCTCCACTGTGGCATTGCTCACAGATTTGGTCATTCCGACCCCCAACCTCTGGAACTGGAAACTTCTCCATCTTCCTTCGCTTCCGCGAAGAGGAAGGATTTGCTGGAGACCGATGATCAACCTCCCCGACAGAACGAGAGCCTTCGCCACCTGCATCGGTCTCAACAGGCTGACGCTTCTTGTTATCACATGCTGCGTCGTCTGAGGCTCCTGCTGCTCGAGGACGACCCCTGGTAGTCCGCTTTCCGGTAAGCCGACTCTCGACATCCGCTGCCACGAGCTCGCCATCGGCATCCAAATCGTTGTCACTTTTCTTCGGCTCCAGAAATTCATCGAGATCTACGTCAGCACTTGCCTGACGTCTCCTAACTCCTTTCTTAGGCTTCACAACCTGCTTGCCGGGAGTCTCCTGCTTCCTGGCAACACGCCACCGCTTGCCAGAACCAACCTTGGTCTGGTAAACCTCGAAAGTGTGCAAATGCTTCTCATAAAGCTCGCGAAGGAGTTTCTCGTGCAGCTGGCGCACGGTCGGAGTTTGAGAGCTGGAATTGGCTGCTCCTGTATCGTCAGACTGTACCAGACGTACAACCTCCCCCCACTTGTTCTCGGAAGTGACTTTGTCATAACCACCGTGTCGCTTCACGGAGTTATAAAATTTGCACAAGTCAAGTTCCTCTCCATCCCACATGGGCCAGCTTTCCAGAATTTCCCCCTGTTTCCGCAAAAACCTGCCATATTCCAGCTTGAAAGTGTCGGCATCGCACGCTGCAGGCCTCTCCTGTAATTGATGGATAGCCTGGAGTTTGGTGGGGAATGTAAACTTCACAGTATCAAGCCCGAGCGGAGGATTCCACGAATTCGGCGGAACAATGCGGCATATACCATAGGCTTCGGCGAGTGGACGAATTTGAGCAATGTAACGTAATGGATGCTGAAATTCCTCGTCAGTGGGATAAAACACCGGAGCTTCCTGCAAGCCAAAGGCGCCTACACCACCACCACCGTCAACTTCTAACTTCACCTCAGCCTTCGCGCTCGTGGTGCCTACACTCTCCTGCCCCTGTGGCAGAGGTTCAGATCTCCGCCTTCCCCTGCCCATTCCTGTCCTCCAATTCCACCGAATTATCACACAGAACCAAAATAAAATCCCCCAAATCGAAGCCCCGCAACGTCGGATGAAATTCCAGGGTTCGCAACGCGCATTGAGTAGAGGACACCCCGGTCGAATTCAAGCGCATTCTGCCTACCACACCCCGACGCAGCACAGCCTACCATACCCGAATTAACTACTCCCCCCGTCGCGCATCTCTGTTTTTCCTCAATTCCAATCGATCCGGCCGTCCTCCCGCGAACACAGCTGCCCTGCTCCCCTGCTTCGCAATCCTCGCGTGAAAGACGCGCCTCGCCCGCCTCCCTCGCACCGCGATCAACCTGTCGACACTTCTCCCCTGCCTCCGACCGAGTGCGGAACCGGAAAGTCGCTGCGCGATCGAAAACCTACGCGCGAGTGCTCGCTCGCTCCCCTGCTCCCCTGCTTCCTGCTTCCTGCTTCCTGCTTCCGACGCACGCCCAAGAAAAAAAAGCCCGTCCTTTCCGCGCCTCGATCAAAGCTGCAGCGTCGCGCTCCGCCAGTCCATGTCCCCTGCTCGCCGAGCCTGCGGAAGTAAGACAAGTCCCCAGCACAAGCCGAGAAAGATCACATGATGGATAATGAATCGCAAAGGAGGTGGAGGTGAACGAACGAACCAACGATGCAAAAGCTCGCTTTCTCTCCTCTGGCGTCTGTCGTCTCCTGTCCGCCCTCCCTCCCCTCCACTCTCCCCTTCCCCTTCCCGCATCAGCAGCTGTGCGCGAGCCCAGGTCCCGATCCCGAACAAGCAGCAAAAGCACATCGACCAGCGCCAGGGCACCCAGCCCCCACGGAAACCCTGAAGCCGACCTGACCGGACCTCACCTGACCAGGGTTAACCCCGGCCTCGTCTAGCCTAACCTGACCTTACCTACGGGACCGGACGCGACCTGACATTAGCTGACGGGACCGGACGCGATCTGAAGCCGACCTGGCCTTACCTGACGGGACCGGACGAGACCAGGCCACTAGGGCATCGCTGGTGGTGGGATCACGTCCCCGTCTTCGCTCCCTCTACCGGTACCTAAAGAATTTCTTTAAATTCCTAACGAATAAAGCAAACTATTATCTAACGTAGAGAAGAAAGGAATAAAATAAAAGTCATACAATACTGTTACATAAATTACCAACACGTTATCTGTTGTCAGCAAGCTTCACTGAATTTTATTTTATATATTTATTAATAAAAATGTGGACAGATGGAGGTAAGTTTTAAATTTAAAAGAAATATCATTGTAAATAAAAATATATCTATGAATATTAAAATATGGAAGTGAATACAATTATTTAAAATTAAATTATGAATAATAATATTATATCATAAGATTGAAGACTGTATTTCAATCGAAAAATTTTCAAACGATTTATGACTCCTTAAGACTTCTTCAGCTTGAAATTGATACAGTCGGAGTTCTTCCATTTGCACAAACCACCTACAGTACACCGTATAGTTAAAATACTACTTCATATAAATCAACAAACTAGTCAGATATCTCAGTCTATCGTTGATATATACACAAATTCTTCTGTATAGAGTGCATTAAAATCTGCTTTCGACTTAAGATTATTGTTATATATAACATGTTTTTGAACAAACTCATTAAGTTTTTAAAATAACAATAACCGCTTACATAATACATTAAATAATACAAATCGACTGTGCCATCTTCAAAGTCATTCTGAAAAAAACGTTCGGGAAGAAAGGAAAACAAATCCAAATTAAACTTAAATGGAAATGACCACTCCTAATATACCCTAATTTTGCGAATCAAGCAACATATTAAAATAACACAAAACCAAAAATTTTATAATCTATTTCATTGAAATAAACAATATTCCGATTTACCTTTTTGTGAAGAACGCGCCTCTCCCCGCGATCAACCTTTCGAGACGTTTCCCGTGCCTCCTCCCGAGTGCGACCCGGAAAGTCGCTGCTCGATCGATCGAAAACCTACGCTCGCTCTCCTGCTTCCGACGCACCACCACGAAAAAAGCCCGTATTCTGCGCGGCTCGATCGAAGCTGCCGCGTCGCCCTCCGGCAGTCCATGTCCCTTGCTCGCCGAGCCTGCGAAAGTAAGACAAGTCCCCGCATGATGGATAATGAATCGCAAAGCAAAGGAGGTGGAGGCGAACGAACGAACGAGGCAAAAGGCGCTCGCTTTCTCACCTCTGTCGTCTGTCCTCTCCTGTCCGCCCTCCCTCCCTCCTCCCGAGCCAAACTCCACTCTCCCCTTCCCGCATCAGCACCTCCGCGCGAGCGCCGAGGTCGCGATCCCGAACAAGCAGCACAAGCAAATCGACCAGCCCCCAGGAAACCCTGCAGCCGCGACCTGACCGGACCTGACGGAACCGGACCCGAGCTGAAGCCGACCTGAACAGGGAAACCCCAGCCTCGTCTAGCCTAACCTGACCTGATGCCGACCTGACCTCACCACAAGGAACCGGACCCAACCTGACCCCATCTGACAGGGACCGGACCGGACGAGGCCACTAGGGTATCGCTGGTGGTGGAATCACGTCCCCGTCTCCATTCCGTCTTCCGTTCAATTACATATCAAAATTTATTAAACTAAGATAGTAACCTCTGACAATGTAATCAAAATTCAATTTGATTGTGTCTAAATCTTTCCCAAAAAAAAATACATTACGCTTGAATCAGACTTATTTCAATCACAAATTGAATTTCGAATAATAAATCAAAATTTGGTTAAATTGACATCAAAATTTAAGTAAATGAAAATCAATATTTTTGATACACAGTCCAATCATTAAAAAATAAAACAGCAAAATGAAACAAAAAAAATCCTAAAATGAAAACAAAATTGATCGAAAAAAAATCAAATAAAGAAAAACTAAATAATCATATAAAAAAGCCAAAAGGAAAAGAAAAACCATTCCAAAGGAATAAACTAACAGTGAAATAAATATTTTAAAAACTACCAATATTTTTTAAGAAAAAAATTAATGCTATTTAAAAATTTTAATTCAATAAAATTAAATTCAATTCAATTACAAACATTTTATTCATGATATAAACAGTTTTTAACTCTAAATACACAATTCTTGAAATGAAACCATCATTATTTTAAAAAAATCAAGTGCATAATAGTGAGTAATATAACTATTTATATTAATATTGAAAATATATAGTATAAAAAATCATAAAATATAAGCAACATTTTTTACAATTATTGTGTAAGAAAATCGAATTTGTTTCCGATAAAATTATACTAATTATTTCGGAGATATGATAAAGAAAAAATCAGAAAATTCATGAGAATAAAATTTAGTTCATCTCATACCAGTAAAACCAAACCAATTTAAGTTTTTTAAAATTTAAAAATAATAAATAACTTGAAAACATATTTTAAATTTATGTTTCTATATTCACTGTGAATTTATAGGTTAGATCTAAAAAATCAACTTACATCAAAGTAAATTAATTTATTTAGAAATAAAATAAAAAATTCTTTTAATAAAATAAACACTTTTTGAAATTCAATCAGAAACAAAAATATAAAATTTCGTGAAGAAATAATATATTCCATTCAAAAAGATATTATATTAAAAATAAAACGATCTTGTTTTTGAAACAAATATAAGACGTTTTAAAAAAGAATTGAGATTTTTTTTAAATGAGTTTTTTATTTTTTTAAAGATTCACTCACTTTTAGCAATATTTTTTTTAAATACAATGAGCTTATTTTTTATGATGTCAAACTTAAATAGAATTCAATTAAAGCTAATGAGGATGAAAGACAACATATTTTTAAATGAACTTTAAAAAAAAATTCGAAATTCAATTAAAAAATATATATGACTTGAATCAGATGCTTTTTTTAATAATATCGAACAAATTTTAAATGAAAAAAAAAATTTATCCAGTTAAAAAAAACTTTAAAATTATACAAACGCTTACAGGCATAAAATCAAATTTAGTTATGATTAAATCAATTTTCTTTAAACTCTGAATTTGTAAAAACCTTTCCACTTCATTAAAAAATATTATTTTTCTTTAGAAATCAAATATCTTGAATATATCATATAATTGTGCAAATTAAAATTAAATTTCATACAAAAGAATTTGAACAAGCAACATGATTAAATATGATTCATATGATATAATTATATTTCAAAATTTATCCAAAGAACTCATAATAAAGTATAGAAAAAATATTTATTTTAAATATAATCAGATTTTTTAAATAAAAATTAGGTTAAAAAAATTCAAAAAAATCATCAATTTGCAAAAATTGAACTTCATTTTTAGTAAAATCTAATTAGAGAAAAAACAGTAAAAAATAATTTTTTTAAATTTTTTTCCCTCTTTTATTTCTCATTTAGTTTCTACTATGAAGTAGATTTTGTGGTTGATAATACTAGTTGTCATACTCATATATTGTTAGATTAGTTTTTAGGTTTCATACTTTTCCACCAAAATTACGTCGAGCAAAATCCACAAACCAAAAAAAACTCAAATCAAAAGAAATACGAAGCTAACATATATCGTCAGAGTCATCTCAAAGACAAAACCTTAAAACATTTTGACACATCTAGTTTTTTTGAACTTGTTTGATAAAAGCTATTCAAATCAAAATCCACAAGAAAGATAAATAGGTGAGAACAAAATCGCCTAAACACCTTTAGAACACATGAGAGTGTTGGAATACGTTTGAAGGTTGACATAAAACAAGCCACTTATTTAAGTCAACTTGGTTCTCGAGATTCAACTCGATTTGATTTAACTTCACTTCACTAGACTCACATCAAATCTAAGTTGCAAGAGCTCAACGACAAGCTACCATGCGATATATCTCTTCTCACACAATCGTTCCTACGCAACCTGTGACTCCTCTGCCCCACACACTCTCTCAACACCCACCAAAAACAACTTTAAAGTAAAACTTCATACTCAACACCTTTGAAAAAATGATGTTGATAGCAACAAAGTCAACGGTCGTCACCATACCTGCATACGTCAGTTCCACCTAGACCATCATAACCCTAAGTTGCCAAACAAACAAGATGGATTCAAATGTAGAGAGTTTGACTTGTGCTACAAGTGAGTGCAGTTTTTTAGCAGTTTTACATAAAAAAGCATTTCAAAGGGAATGTCACGTAATATTCTAGATTTGTGTCCTCTATAAATTTGATAAAAATAAAAAAAATAATCTCATATTTTAAAATGTATACAAAATAAAAAATGTGGTAAACAAAATTTTTTTATATTGATCTCCAATACCATAAACCAGATTTATTGAAATTGAATCAAAATTTTCATAAAAATTATAGCATATTAGATTACCATATGTTGGAGATCAAAGCATATCGTACTTTAAATAAAAATATATACTTTTTGAAACTAAGTCACAAACTTAAAAAATTTATTGATATATTTTTTGAAATCAAATTCCATATTCTTAAATATAAATATAGTTATCATAACTAAGTTTGCTTTAAATATCTTAAATTTTTTTGACTTAGATTTAATGCGCCCAAATCATTGATAAAGTTCAAACGTCTCACAAGTTTGACATTGTTGTATTTTGTTTAGACTATCCACAGTTTTTTGAGTTTGCTTTTGATGTTTGCACTTTTACTATCTTGTTAATTTATTAATAAATTTTTTTTTTCTCATTGACATTTTTGTAGTC